AAATTCCAGAACTGAAGGATATGAGTTAAAAGATTGAAAGGATTTGCTGTACCCTCTATAAAGAATGGGGGGTGGGGAGCGGGGGAAATCCAAAGCACATCATGAAATTTCAGAACCCTATGAATAAAGTGTAGATTCTAAAAGTTTACCATATAAAGGTTCATACAAAAGAAATGGATCTCAGAACATCAGGTTTCTTATGTCATATTTCTCATTGGTAGTACTAGAAACTAGAAGCCACGCTAAGACAACAACATGGGATCCAGCAAACAAGGAATCCTACATAGGAAAACAGTAAAGGAAACTCAGGAGGTGATGGTGAATGGAAGCTGTAAGATGACCATTACATAGCAGGCCTAGGAAGCAACTATCCCAGGAATAGGATGGAATTGGAGGGGAGGGCTCCAGGAGGATGTCTCTTAAAAAAAAATGAAAGGTAAATTACTTGATAACTGTGACCATGTTGAGAGAAGTTTTTTCCCTCTGGCAGAGATTCAAGGGATGAATTACAGATAGAATGACCTGTGTCATGTGTGGTCTTGAATCATTCTACTCCAGGTCCATCAGTTTTTAGTTACTGGAAATAACTAAATGGTGCAAATGGAACCAGATCAGACTTAACATGTTTGTACATTTCTTTTGAAAACTGTAAATAACATGAGGTATTTATGGAACTTTTGAATATAAAAGGAAGAAAGGAGCCGCCAGGCTCACGCCTTTACAGGGGAGGCCGAGGCAGGAGGACTGCTTGAGCTCAGGAGTTCGAGACCAGACTGAGCAAGAGTGAGACACTGTCTCTACTAAAAAAAAGAAAGAAATTAGCTGGACAACTTAAAATATATAGAAAAAAATTAGCCGGGCATGGCGGCACATACCTGTAGTCCCAGGTACTTGAGAGGCTGGGGAGGAGGATCGCCTGAGTCCAGGAGTTTGAGGTTGCTGTGAACTAGACCATACTCTAGCCCAGGCAACAGAGTGAGACTGTCTCAAAAAAAAAAAAAAAAAAAGAAAAAAAAAAGAGCAAATTAACAAATTGAAATTTCTTCAGAGAACCCTCCACTGCTTTAGTTTCTTTCCTAAAGGTTATACAAGTTTAAGACAATTAGAAAGTTTTTTTTTTAAATTATATAGTCTTTGTCCCTTTTTTATTTTCTTAATTTTTTGTAGGGAATCGTTAAATTGAGATACTGAGTGATTTCAAGCATGCATAGAAGAAATTATTGTAATACTTGAATAAACAAAAATTGAAAATTTAAATAAAATAAGAGTAATAAGGCAATAAGATTGGCAGGAGACAGGAGAGTTTTGCAAGGAAAGAGAAGATAAAAGGCTAAAGCTGAAAAATGGCAAAGCCCCTAATGCATAGGGTAGTGATCCTTAATTTGTATTATGTCCTCCTACAGAGATTTATGTTAAAGCCATCTGAGGACTTTTTTTTATTATTACATACCCATACTTCCATTCTGATCTCTGTTATTCTCATACTTGACAGTTACAGGAAATTCTCTGGGTTAAGTGAATTCTCTTATGATCCTATGACCCAGAAATAAAGCAGAAATTACCTATGGTGAGAATTTATCTCAGGTTGACGTTGATTTGGGACAAACCTAGTTCCTTCTTGGGATCTTCTAAGTAGGGGTTTAAGAGTTTATCTTTAATTTTAATATATTATGACATCTCTTAAGAGTGAGAAGCAGTCTCACTGTGTCACCTAGCTGGAGTGCAGTGGCCCAGTCATAGCTCATTTCAGCCTTGAACTCCTGGGCCCAAGGGATCTTCCCACTTCAGCCTCCTGAGTAGCTAGGACTACAGGCATGCATCACCACACCCAACTAATTTTTTATTTTTTGTAGAGACAGGGTCTCACTGTTTCCCAGGCCAGTCTTGAAGTGATCCCAAAGTACTGGGATTATAGGTGCAAGCTACCACATTTGGCCTTATGATGTATTTCTTGAACTGTTGAGTTACTTAATTGACCAAAGATTAATTCTACTTAATTGAGCCAAAACAAAATTTTTGCTGACAATTTATTCCTTCATGTAACATTTAAGAAGCCTATGATTGGAGTGAATAATGTTAAGAATTTTATTTCTAACTTGCCATTAGCTAGGTATCTTTGTGTAATAGTTTTTGAGTCTAATGTAGTTATTTTCATCCCACAGTGTCTCATGCGGGAGCCTCCATGTCATCTGCTTCATCAGACACTGGAATGAGTCCCTCATCATCATCTCCCCCACAAAATGTACTTGCTGTAGAATGCAGGTGATAAACATTTTCTCTGCCTTCCCAGCAGTTTGCTGCCATGGACATAAATCCCAAAACCCTAAAATACAACCACAGAAAGCACTCAACTGGTTTGACATTGCTAAGTATATCCTGTATACTTTTCCAGGCTGGATTGTATCTATTCCCTTCTCTCTTCTTTTTTCTTGTTGCAAAAAAATAAGCTGATTAATAAGTGAAGGTGAGGCAGCCTGCCATATTTGTCATAATTTTTCCTCTTCTTTTTTCATTTTTTGTGATATAGAAAAAAGGGCACTTAGCAAATTTGAATTTGTATAATAAAGCTTTCAGGTATTATAGAAATCATAGACAAGCAAGTGCACATGATAAACATCAAAATATTATCCAGCTGAATAGTTACTGCTGCACTTTCACTAAGATGTATTTGAACACTTGGTGACTAGGGGGTTTATGTTGTGTTCTTTTTTTTAATTGTTGTTGTTTTTTTTATTTTTGTGGAAGCACTTGCTATTTAGAACTGCCAAAGTATATGTTCAGCAGTGTGCCCAGGTTTAAAGGTGTAAATGGGACAAAATAAATTGTGAAAGGAAGTGTAGTTGACTGAAAACTACAGTTGTAATAAGTCTTCCACTTTTTATAGGATTTTTGAGCACACAATTATGCAAATATTTTAATGTTATTAATGTTTACAGTGGAATTGTGAATAAGTTTTCAGTGGACTATCTTATCCCTTGACAAAAATATTTTGTCTTTTTTCTATGTAATTTCAGAGTTTTTATTTTGTTACAAAAAGACAAAAATGAAATATATAACAACAATGAAGTTATTTAACAAGATTTCTAAAGCTGAAAATTTTGTGTAAAATAAGGTATTATCTTGCAACTTGTTAAATATATTTATTCAGACATTGGATGTTGTATTTTTATGTATTTTTTAAAATATTAATAAAATTGAAAAAAAGAAAATTCTAGGTTAATTCACTCTTTGGATGACAATAGCTCTCAGCTGTCCCTTTACAGGAGGTTGCATCCAGCAGCCTTGCTTGTATTGAAGGGGGTCTGTCTCAGTCCTTCAAACAGTATAGATCTATAAATGGGCATCTGGATCATTAAAGTATGTCCTTGTTTAGAAACTTTGGCAGTCCTAGTATTTAAACTGTTTTAAGGATCAAGTTTTTGGTTGCCCTTAAGATACTTTGTCACAGTTTTTATGTTTGCTATACTGCCGAATAAATTTATATCTCCCAAAGTTGAGATGCAACAACTAAGTAAAGCAACTATGTATGCTTTGTCTGTGAATTGTTCCACAGACTGATACATTTTGTAAATAATTCTTCAAAAATCATGTATTTAAAGCAGTTTTGCATATATACATTATGTAAAAAGGTGATTTTTTTAAAAGCAATTTTTAAATTCATGTTTGTACATTGAAAGGGGTTTTTTTTAAACCTCCTTTTCTGTGTTTAATATGCTGTAGAGTAATAACCTAGATGCTCTGTATATCAGGATCTGATTTACAAGAACAAAGTCAGAGCTAAACACTAGTGATGGCATAGCATTACTGAAATCATTGTTTCTTAATTTCATTTTACCACATTGTGAAATTGTGATTCAGATTCCTTCCATTTTCTCAGAGAATTAAAAACAAAAACGTACTCTTGTAAAATGCACTTTTCTGTCTTTTCTTTGCAAAGCAGAAGTATTTCAATGTAAAATAAAAATGGAGCTCAGCGGGCAGTATTAATAAAGGCCATGTTTTAAACATAGGCTTTATATTTTTAGTTTTCATTTAAGTGATTGCTTTTTCTGTAAGTGCCAGTAACTTACAGTTGGAAAATCCAATTTCATAAAACAAAGCATTTCACAGCCTTTACAATAAAATATTTCTAGTACTTAATTATAAAATGAAAAAATGTCATTCAAGTCCATTTGGACCTAGGAGGCAACCTTAGATTTATATGTTAGATATTTTAATGATTTCCTTCAGTACCAATTTAATAAATCTGAGATAACTAAGTTATCAGCTTAAGTAGTATCCCTTCTAATTGATATAAATTTTTGAATGAAGTATTGGGATGCTGCTAACAGGGAATAAATTTGTATACTCATTGTATAGGTATGTAGACACTGTTAAAATCCTTTAATTTAGAGGTTGGAAAGGATTATAAAATTAAATGTCAAACTAGGTATGACAGTTCAAATATTGGGCATATTATGAGTTTGGCTAAACTTTGAATAGATAGCTCTTACATGTGACTAAAAGTATAAAGGTACTCCTTATTATAATATAATGGAAGGTGTTCTCTATAAAATTCAGTTATTTACAGATTATGGAGCTTTCTGTTTTAGTATTCCATTGTGTGCTCTTATTGTTTGTTTTGTGTTAAATTTATAGTTTTCCTAGCTTTCACTAAGAAAGATGGTTATACTTAGCACATTTTAAAAGACTATTACAGGGCTGGGTGTGGTGGCTCACACCTATAATCCTAGCACTCTGGGAGGCCGAGGTGGGCAGATTGCTCCAGGTCAGCAGTTTGAAACCAGCCTGAGCAAGAGTGAGACCCCGTCTCTACTACAAATAGAAAGAAATTAATTGGCCCACTAATATATACAGAAAAAAATATCTGGGCATGGTGGCATATGCCTGTAGTCCCAGCTACTCGGGAGGCTGAGGCAGTAGGATCTCTTGAGCCCAGGAGTTTGAGGTTGCTGTGAGCTAGGCCGACGCCACGACACTCACTCTAGCTTAGGCAACAAAGTGAGACTCTGTCTCAAAAAAAAAAAAAGAAAAAGAAAAAGACTATTACATACTATATCTTCTATGAAATCGCTTTAAATTATGAAAATCTATACGGAATAACCTATTAATTTGCTTATGTACCTTCTTATAAGCCTTGTAATTTAACATAGCTATCAAAATTGTAAAAGCATTCGAAACTATATTCAACCACACATAAAACCTATTACCAGAATTCATTCATCAACACTTCATTGAGTATCTTCTATGTGTCAAGCATTATGCTAAGGCCCAGCAGCCACACAGTGAACAAAACAGAAAAAGATCTCTCTCTTCATGGAATGTATAATCAAGGTACAATCAACGAGGTAGTTGTTAAACAATTAACTTATTTCTTAGCTGCAGGTAAGATAAGCATATGAAGTTCCAGTGTGCCATGAGATGATATAGAGCTCAACTAGTTTGAAGGCAAGGGTAGTCTGGGAAGGCTTTGCAGAGGAAGTGACAATAAAATTAAGCCCCAGTGAGGATTATGAATTGGCTAGGGAAATATGGGGAGATTATTGTGTTCCAAGCACATAGGGGAGGAGAGATGGGTAGAAATGAGCCAGGTAATGAGCCAGGGCAAGAGTAAACCTAAGGCAGGAGGAAGTCAAGAAAGGTCACTCAGGCATTGCTCAAACCTTGAACTTACCCACCTCTGCCTTTTGCTTCTGTTCCCGCACCAGTCTCATCCTTACTTGTCCAGATCTGTCTCAAGAGACACTTTTCTGTGAAGCTTTTGCCAACTTCTCACCAACATCAGAATACTGCCCTCTTTTATGTTCTGATAGCTTTTCATTCTGTGTTATTTTATTTGACAATTTACCTTGTATTATGCTTACTTGTGCATTTGTGTTTCTTACATGCTCCTAAGTCACAGGTGTATCTCACAGAGTGCCTGGTCCAACATTCAACACACGGTAAGGTGGTCAAAAACTTTAATTAAATTGCGAAAAAAATACTTTCAATTGCTATTGTTTTTTATCAGTGATCCTTATGTACAAAGCTAGGCATTTAAAAAAGGTCTTCAGGGTTCTTTTCACAAAGCGATACTGTTAAAATACCATTTGGAAAGTATTAAAGTAGACTTATTCAACAGTCTGATCTTCAACTTAAAATATCCTTAAATTGATGAGTTATTTTTCCTTCTATCCTTGTTTGTTCTTCCCTCTCCAGTTACTTTCATGTGGTTATACATGATTTTTATCTCATTACAGGAAGAGTACAATAAGTGGTGGCATTCATCATTAGTAAAGGTTGAATGACTCTTAGAATGGAGTTTGTACTAATGAGGAATTTTTAACAAATACATCCTTAGTGTTTTCACAGAGCAGAATATTTTTTTAGTCCTTAAAATCTTATTACAGAATCAAATGATGTCTTCCATGTTAACAAGCACAAAAACCTTTTTTAATCCATACAGATCCCTTTATTTATCTCTTTAAAAAGAACAAGAAGGGCAGTGTTTATGATTTGGGTATTTGTAGTTATTATTAGGAAACCATCATTATTTTATCATCTGTGTCATGCAGAATTCATTTTGAAAGTTCTATTGTGAAAAGCTTAAAGAACTTCTGTATAAATATAATGATTCTGCACAAGTAATTGGATTTCTTCTCAAAGCTAAGTTACATTAAACAAGGCAATCTGATTCAAGAATCTCACCAGTTTATGGTTACCATAGTAAGCAGAAAAAATACAGGATACCTAGTTAAATTTGAATTTGAGAAAAACAACAAATAATTATTTAGTATAAGTGTATCCCATGCAAAAAAAAGTTATTTATTGCAAAAGAAGCAATCTGAAGCAAATATGGCAAAATGCTGATTCAATAAACTGAGTGTTGATCATATTATTCTCTCTTCTTTGCTATGTTAAAATATATTTAATAAATTTAAAAAATATCCAATGAACTGTTTCAAAATAAGATGAAAATAATTGGTAGAACTGCGTGCCTTATTAATGAATTGAGGTGCATTCATACTATCTCAACCTTATGAAAGAAGCATTGTTATTTTATTTTGATACATGAGAAAACAGGTTCCAAATGGTCAAGAGAGAGTGGTCAAGTAAGTGGCAGAATTAGGACTCAAACTCATTACTTCTGATTCCTTAGTCTGGTTTCTGTTCCATTACGTCAGTACTGTTGTAAGAAGCTTCTGTTCCCTGGGAGCAAAGGTTGCATTCTTACCAAAGACTGAGTTCTTGGGCCAGGACCCTTTATGCATCACGTCAGTACTGTTGTAAGAAGCTTCTCAGTGGGAGCAATGGTTGTATTCTTATGAAAGTCTGAGTTTTGGGGCCAGGACCATTTATGCATCAGAACATTGGCAAGTCCCAATTTTGAGGAACAGGAAAGATTACCAATTTTATCTTTTAATCTCTTATCACTTCCCATTTCTTATTTCTGCTTTCAAAATCTGTCACAAGATAAAATTAGGTGATAGCAAAATTTTTGGTTGACAAAGGTAAAATTTAGACAATCTTGTTTTTTTTCTCCATAATATTCCAAATAACACATTGACTTACTGAACTAGATTTTTGTTTTTTGTCTGAACATCCTTTATTTTAAATTGTAGATGATCTGGCATTTTAATAATTTCTAAAGTTTTTAAGTAATATATTTTAATTGTAGAAATGTTAGAATATAATATAAAGTTAGTTAAAACTAAAAATTATAGGCCAGGTGTGGTGGCTCATGCCTGTAATCCTAGCACTCTGGGAGACCGAGGTGGGTGGATTGTTTGAGCTCAGGAGTTCGAGACCAGCCTGAGCAAGGGCGAGACCCCATCTCTACTAAAAATAGAAAGAAATTAATTGGCCAACTAAAAATATATAGAAAAAATTAGCCGGGCATGGTGGTGCATGCCTGTAGTCCCAGCTACTCGGGAGGCTGAGGCAGGAGGATTGCTTGAGCCCAGGAGTTTGAGGTTGCTGTGAGCTAGGCTGAAGCCACAGCACTCTAGCCTGGGCAACAGAGTGAGACTCTGTCTCAAAAAAATCAAAAACAAAAACCCTAAAAATTACAAATGAAATACTCATATATAACTACTATTAACATTTTGGCATATGTTCTTTCATGTCTTTTGCTATGTGTATAAAAATATCAAACTTCATACATAAACACCCTAACTTTTTAAGTGATTTTTTTTTTAGAGATGGGGTCTCCATTTGTCATCCAGGGTACAGTGGTGTGATCATAGATCACTGCAGCCTCAACCTCCTGGGCTCCAGTGATCTTCCTGCTTTAGCCTCCTGAGTAGTTAGGACCACCTGGAATAGCTAGGACTACAGTGGTGGCCCTGCTAATTTTTATTTTTTGGAGAGACGAGGTGTCACTATGTTACCCAGCCTATCTTGAACTCTTGGCCTCAAGTGATACCCTGGCCTCAACCTCCCAAAGTGCTGGGATTATAGGCGTGACCCATCACACCCAGCCCTAAACACCATAACTTTTAAAAACATAAATAGGGTTGTGCTGTATGCTGCTTTTAAAGTCAGCTTTTTTTCACTTGACAATATAGTATAAACACTTTTTCGCAGTAATAATTAAGTGATTACCTTGTACTCCATGGTACTGAACATTCCTAATCTATTTTTTAGATGTGTAAGTTACCAACTTTTAGCTATTTCTTTGAACTAACCATTCTTTAGCATTTTGTGGCATAAATTCATAGAAGTGGAATTACTAGATGAGAGGGTATGCAAAAGTCTAAGTAGCATTTTCTGAAACTTCTTCAGTATTGATGGGAATATAAATTTTATTCCAGGAATATAGGATTGGCTCAATATTTTTTTTAAAAAAATCAATGTAACTCACAATATTAACAAATTAAAAGGAAAACTTTATGATGCAAAAAAAAATTTGACAAAATCCAACATCTGTTCTCATCAAAGTGGGAATAGAAGGGAACTTCTTCAACTTGATAAAGGATACCTATGAAAAACCTATACTTAATGTCATAATTAATGATGAAAGACTGAATGCTTTTCCCCAAGATTAGGAATGAAACACTTCCACCACTTCTATTAAACATTGTACTGTAGGTTCTAGTCAGAGCATTAAGGTAAGAAAAGAAATCACAGGTATCCAGACTGGTGAGTTTAGCAAGAATACAGTCTAGAAAGAAACCTTCACATATATGAACAAGTGATTTTTGACAAAGGTGCAGAGGCAATATAGTGAAGATGGAGCAGCCTCTTAAATAAATGGTGCTGAAACAATTGGACATCCATATGCAAGAAAAAAAGAATTTGGAACCATACCTTACACCATATATAAAAATTCAAAATGGATCACAACTTTAAATAGATCACAAAATGGATCATAAAACCTAAAGTTATAAAACTTCTAAAAGAAATCATAGGAGAAAATCTTTGTGACTTTGTGCTTAACTGGGTTAAAGATTTCTCAGATATAACACCAAAAGCACAATCCATAAAGGAGCAAATTGGTAAACAGGAATTTATCAAAATTAAAAACTTTGGCTATAAAAGACACTGTTAAAAGAATAAAAAAGCAAAAAACAAACTAGGAGAAACTATTTTCAGCATATATCATATGAAGGACTTGTATCAAGAACATATAAAAAACTATCAATACTCAAAAGTAAGAAAAGGCTGTTTCTTAAAAATGTACTAAAGATTTGAGCAGACACAGTCCTTTAGGAAGACATATGGATAGAAAATGGGCTCATTAAAAAAAGGTGTTCATCAAGAGAATGAGAAGACAAACCACACACTAGGAAAAAAATGTTTACAAAAGACATATCTGATAAACGACTATTATTCAAAATAGACAAATAACTCTCAACACTCAACACCAAGAAAAAAAACCTGATTAAAAAATGGGCAAAAAGCTGGGCGAGGTGGCTCACACCTGTAATCCTAGCACTCTGGGAGGCTGAGGCGGGCGGATTACTCAAGGTCAGGAGTTCGAACCCAGCCTGAGCAAGAGCGAGACCCCGTCTCTACTATAAATAGAAAGAAATTAATTGGCCAACTAATATATATAGAAAAAATTAGCTGGGCATGGTGGCACATGCCTGTAGTCCCAGCTACTCGGGAGGCTGAGGCAGTAGGATCGCTTGAGCCCAGGAGTTTGAGGTTGCTGTGAGCTAGGCTGACACCACGGCACTCACTCTAGCTTGGGCAACAAAGGGAGACTCTGTCTCAAAAAAAAAAAAAAAAATGGGCAAAAGATCTGAACAGACACCTCACTGAAGAAGATATACAGATGTCAAACAAGCACATGAAAAAGTGTTCAACATCATATGTCATTTGAGAATTGCAAATTAAAACAAGATGCCACTATATACCTATTAGAATGCAAAAATCCAAAACACTGACAATAACAAATGCTGTTGAAGATGTGGAGCAACAGGAACTCTTTATTCATTGTTCATAGGACTGCAAAATGGTATAGTCACTGTGAAAGACAGTTTGGCTGTCTTTGGTTTCTTATAAAACTAAACATAACGTAACCACATGATCCAGCAATCACACTCCTTAGTATATACTGAAATGAGATGAAAATTTACATCTACACACAAACCTGCACATGGTTGTTTATAGCAACTTTATTCATAATTGCCAATGCTTTGAAGGAACCAAGATACCTTTCAAGTAGGTGAATGGATGAACTGCGGTACACCCAGACAGTAGGATATTATTCTATGCATCTCTAAAAGAAATGAGCCATCAAACGATGAAAAGACATGAAGAAAACTTAAATGCATATTACTAAGTGAAGGAAGGCAATCTGAAAAGACCACATACTCTATGATTCCAACTATATGACATTCTGGAAAAGGCAAACTATAGAGACAGTTAAAAGATCAGTGGTTGCCTGATCGGTGGAATGCAAAATGGTATAACATTTTTGGAAAAATGGTTGACATTTTCTTAAAAAAAGAAATATCCCTACCATATGATACAAATAGTTCACCTTGGATATTTATCCAAAGGAATGAACAGGAAAGACATGTTCATATAAAGATCTGTACATAACTGTTTATAGCAACTTTATTTGTAAGAGTCAAAAAATAGAAACAGGCTGGGTGCGGTGGCTCACGCCTGTAATCCTAGCTCTCTGGGAGGCCGAGGCGGGTGGATCATTTGAGCTCAGGAGTTCAAGACCAGCCTGAGCAAGAGCGAGACCCTGTCTCTACTATAAATAGAAAGAAATGAATTGGCCAACTAACATATATAGAAAAATTAGCGGCATGGTGGCGCATGCCTGTAGTCCCAGCTACTTGGGAGGCTGAGGCAGGAGGATTGCTTGAGCCCAGGAGTTTGAGGTTGCTGTGAGCTAGGCTGACACCACGGTACTCACTGTAGCCTGGGCAATAAAGTGAGACTCTATCTCAAAAAAAAAAAAAAGAAAGAAACAATCCAAATGTCTATAACAGATAAAAGGCTAAATAAATTTTAGAATACTCATGAAATGGAATACTACTTACCAATAAAAATGAACTATTTGTACAACAACACAGATGTATCTCAAAAGAAGTATGCCAAGTGAAAGATGCCAGGCAATGAAAGAGTACATACTGTATGATTCCATTTGTATAATACTCTAAGAAATACAAACTAATCTGTAGTGACAGAAAGTAGGGGAGAGCGGGGAAAGAAGGATGGAAGGAAGTATTAACCACTTTGGGACCGTGCTCACCGGTGTGAAACCTTGCCCACAGCCGGCACTCAATAGTCGGCACGATAGTTTGTGCTGTGCATTGACGACGAATCCGTTTTGCTCTTGTGTGATGAGGAAAGCTTTAAAGCATTGAAAGGTTGTTTTACTTTACAGGCAGCTTTACTTGTAAATATGAGAATAGGTAACATATACATATATGTTTTCATTACATTATTTTTAAATGTTCACAATTTTGTTTTAAATGAAAAATTAGAAAAGTCATATCACGGCTGTCGGCTAAAGTCGCTGTGCGCGTTCATCTGTGGCTGTCGACTACAGTCGACACTGATCCCGAAGTGATTAAAAAGGTACCTGAGGAAATGTTTGGGGATGATGGATATATGATTACTATCTTGACTTTGGTGATAGTTTTATGGATGTATGCATGTGTTCAAATTTATCAAACTGTACACCTTAAATACATGCAATTTACTGTATATCAATTAGACCTCAATAATGCTGTTTACAAGAAAGAGAGCTATCCAGCACAGAACCATGCTTTGGGGACAACTATTAATGCCATCTCACTATGCAAATGACCAAAGCTTTTTTGTTTTTTCCTCCAAGACAGAGTCTTACTCTGTCACCTTGGGTAGATTACAGTGGCATTATCATAGCTCACTGCAACCTCAAACTTCTGGGCTCAAATGATCCTCTTGCTTCAGCCTCCTGAGTAGTTGGGACTACAGGTGCATGCCAGAATGCCTGGATAATTTTTCTACATTTAGTAGAGACAGGGTCTCGCTCTTGCTCAGGTTGGTCTTGAACTCCTGAGCTCAAACAATCCTCCTGCCTCGGATGTCCAAAGCACTATGATTTCAGGTGTGAGCCACCACACCCGGCCATGACCAAAGCTTTATAGGAATTCTGATCACCAAATTAGCAAGAGTGGTGCCTATATCTGAGAAGAAAATACCCACCTGTACCATGGAAACTTACCTAAATATTTTTCAATTATTTTTCCTCATGGCCTCTGTGGTAATTTAAACTTTAGTAATCTCTATATTTCTAATTGCTGTAATAATTCTAGTTTTATATGTCACTGTTTACTTTGTCACTGTTCACTTTGAACACCCACCTAATCTAGACAATTTCTCTGGCTCTCCACCTCCATTTACCGCTTACCACAGGGATTAACTATGAGCTCAATGGAAGTGAAGGATGGGAAGAAGACCTAGGGCATAGTGGGGTTAGAAGACAAGTGCAATCTGCCTACAAAAGATCATTTGGAGCTGGGCTAAACCCACCAGCAAGATTCTGAACACAAATCCAGTCCTAGATCATTAGTAACATTTACTGGATGGTTGATAATGTCCTTTCCTCCATGTTTACAATCAGGTTTTCACAATAACAAAGTTCTCAACTAGAATACTGAGTTATCATGGGAAGAAATATACAGTATCCAAGAAAGTAATGATATGTAACTAACCCCTGCTTACTCCTCAATTGTGAGGGCAGCCCCACTGGTAATCAGAGCAGTGATAAGCACCTTGCTTTACTAGTAATATCAATAAATAAATAGTACATTAGTGAATAGCAGTTGAATAATCTTAAAAAAAAAGAAATTATTAAGTCCTTACCTAGCTTATACCTTCTCTTTGTCTCAGTATTGAGGAATGCAAAGTCCTAAACCCCTCTGACAGAATAAGGGATCCTCCTTTGGCTAAAACCCCCAAATTTTAGAGTTACCAGCCATGGGAGGATGTTCATATCCCATTTGCTTTCACTCCCTCTCCTTACTAATCATTACTAGATTTTACCAAAGGCCAGCTTGAGAGAACAAAAGACTGGAAGACCCCTCTGCTTACTTCGTCTGACCCCCTGTGCCCTTCTGTTTTCATGGTTCTGACATGACAGCTCTTTCAGACCACAAAGAGTTTCTTCTTAATAAAGGGCTGCTGGCTGGGAACTGGTTCTGGCCAGTCTGTTGAGGATGAACAGTTCATAAATTTGTGCCTTACATTTCACCTTTTTATGTATAGCACCTAATTATAATGCATTTAAGTGTTAAATCTCTGCCTCAGAGTGATCACAGGATGTATGTTACATACCTGTAAACTTAATACCTGTATGTGGTTCTCCTTCATGAATATTCATAGCTCTTCCTGTAACCGGTTGAATATGTACACTTGGCCAATCCTTTCGGCAAAAGTTCCCGTCTTACTCCCAGTGCCTGTCTTCAGACTTCTGCCCAGGCTATACGTCCCAGCCTGTCAGGATGGCCAGCCTGCAGATTGTAACCCTTTATAAGAAATAATGTCTCCTTTCTAAATTTACAGACTTGGTGACTCTTCTTCAGTCAATAGTATAAAAATCAAAAAACTCTGGTATCTGGGGCAAAGTCTTACCTCCTTTCTTTCTGCTCCTGCTAAATAAAGCAAATATTAGAAAGAAAAGCATATAGGCCAGTCAGTATTGTAGGTCTCTCAGTTGTTTTTAAACTGGGGCCTTCGACTGCCAGTCCCAGCTCGGCAAATTAACGTTTTTTCTAGGCTAAATAGGATGGGCTTCAAAATTCTTCCCTTCTCCCACTATTGAATTAAGATGGTTTGAGATCTTGGACTCCTGGGAATTCAGGTGACACAGGAGACCAGGTTGGGGAGTACAGGCTAGTGTTAGCACTGTGAACTAGGAGATGACCAAAGATGACCTAGAGTCAACTTAATTTTGCAGGTAAGGGAACACAGGCCTAAGGAGGACTCAGGTCACCAGCTAATCAGATTCTCCACACAATACTGTGATTTGCCTGAATGGTAGTCCTAGGTATAGTGGCAGGGGCGTGCCTGGGGAAGGGGTTCAGAATTTGGAGTGCGACAAACCTGGGTTCGAACAGAGCTCTGCTACTCCGTGGCTGTGGGACCTCCCACACATGTCCACTCGGACCCTCTGCCTCCTCATCTGTCCGCAATCCTCTGAGGAAGGCGTCGGCGAGCCTGCGGCAGGGCGGACAGGAAGCCCGGAGGCCGGGATGGGGCGCCGCGCCGCCGCCCCCTGCCGGCCGGCCGGGGCCTCGCGCTCGCCAGCCCGCGCCCAACGCTCGACTCGAGGGACGCCCGCGGTCGGATGCCCTGCGTCCGCACCCTCCTCGGCCTCCTGGCTGCCCTGGCGGCCTGTGGCGCTGTCGCCTTCCTCGGCTACTGTGTTTACTTAGACCAGAAGCGGCGCGGGGACCCCGCGTTCAAGCGCCGCCTGAGGGACAGTGAGTGCGACGGAGGCAGAGGCGCGGCCGGGCCCAGAGGGCGCGGGGCGGGCGGCCGGGCGGGCCCACGGGGGCGAGGCTGGGACGCGAGTGTCGTCGCCGCCGCCGCCGCTGCTGAGGGGCCCGGGCGAGCCGGGCCGCGGGGCCCACGCCGGCCTCAGGATGGGCCTCCCAGCCAGCACGTGCCGTGTCGTGTTTGCAGAAAGAAGAGCCGAGCAGCAAAGGGCTGAGGCGCGGGCCGCGCAGGTGCAGTGCTTTAGATACGCCCAGGTGGCTCTGTAGATCTGGCCCGCCGGCCTCTGGTCCCTGGGTGGCCCAGCCCGAGGTACTTCCTGCGTCCGCGGGCCGCCCGCCGCCGGGCAGAGGCCTGCCCCCCAGCCCCATAAGTTCTGCCACAGGTTTAATCTTTACTCTCTTCTTACTGAAGGAAGGAGGAACAGATGGGGTTATAAAAAGGCAGCTATAAAGTAAACATTGTGGGAACAAGCACTTATGTTAATTGGAAGAAGGAAGGGGAACCTTTGCCCTGTCAGAGCCTCACAGGATATTTGGAAACCCAGGCCGGCCACGTATCACACAGTTAGTTACACAGCAATAACTTAGACCTTAGAGTCAATTTCATTGTGACTCTACACCACCGATTTTTGTCTCACAGGACCTTTCTTCTAGGCCAGAAACAACACATCTTCGTGTTCTCTAAAACAGAATTATATATATATAATTTTTTATTTATTTATTTATTTTGTATTATTTTTTTTAAGATGAGGTCTCGCTGTATTGCCCAGGATGATCTTGAACTCCTGGGCTCAAGCAATCCTTCTTCCTCAGCATCCCCACAGCTGGGATTGTAGGTATGAGCCACCATACCTGGCTTAGTTATTTTATTTATTTATTTATTTATTTATTTTTATTTATTTATTTTTGAGACAGAGTCTCACTTTGCTGCCGGGAGCTCACAGCAACCTCAAACTCTTGGGCTCAAGCAATCCTCCAGCCTCAGCCTCTGAATAGCTGGGACTACAAGCATGTGCCACCATACCCGGCTAATTTTTTCTATATGTTTTTAGTTGGCCAATTAATTTCTTTACATTTTTAGTAGAGATGGGTCTTGGTCTTGCTCAGGCTGGTTTCTAACTCCTGACCTGGCTTAGTTATTTTTAAAGATAACAACTGCAGTCATCTTTGTGATTGGCCCAGTTTTAACTAACTCAAATCAGTTCTAAAAGTACTACATGGAGTTCCTAGGTTCTTCTATGAAATTTCAGAAGGAATTAAGTCTCAGCTATCATTCTTTCTGTCATTCAGAGCCTATTTGTGAGCCTCTTATGTGTGAGGCATTGTCCTAAGGCCTGGCAGAGGTCAGCAACAGAGGAGTGAGAATAACACCCCCCCACCCCCCACCTCCTCCACACTCCCGTGACGAAACAAGGCAGTGGATAAGGTCAACAGATGTAACAAGAACTTAGAAAAGGCAGATCATTTTCAGGGTAGGATTATCTTGGAGGCTGTTATATTTACCTATTGTTGTTTTAAGCTTAGTGGTTTAAAATAGTATCTATTTTGCTTCTGAATCTGCAATTTGAGCAGGGCTTGGATGGCGATAGTATCTTTTTGCTCCATTCAGCTTCAGCCAGGATGGTTCCAGGGCGGGGTCTGGGTCAACTGAAGGCTCGCTCCTTCATGTTTTGTAGTTGATGTTGGATGTTTACTTAGCTGGGACTGTTAGCCAGACCACCTAGACATGTCTTCTCTGTGTGGCCTGGGATGATTCTTTGTATAGTGAGCTGGGTCCCAAGGGGCAAGCAAGCACACACACACACACACACACACACACACACACACACACACACACACAGAATTATATATGTAGAGAGAGAGCATGCCAGACCATGTGCCTATGTGGGGAGCAGATGGTGCCACCTCTTGCATCATGGAGGCATGCTCAAGCTCAGTTTCGAGGGAAGAGGAAATAGACTCTGCCTCTTGATAGGGGAGGCAAGATTCTGAAAGCACATATGGGACTGGGAATATTTCTATGGCTGTTTTTGGGAAATGCAATTTTTCTGCATTAGACTTTGGAGAGGAGGTAGCATTGAACTGAGCCTGGAAGGGTTCTTGATTTGGGGCCTGGTTTCAGGGAGACAACATTCAGGATGGAGAGAGATGCATGTGCATAAAAATGCAAAGTGGGGGATCTGACAGACATATTCAGTAAATCAATTTGGCAAGGGAGTCATGGTCAGGAATAGTGGGAGGTAATGCTGCTGAGCTAAGGAGGAGTTGAATTAGGGAAGTCTTGCTTTAAAGCCAGGTTAAGGAATTGAAATTCAATGGGGAATACTGAAGATTTCTAACTAGAAATTTTTAAAAAGAAGGAAAAGAAAAACAAACTTTGACTGATTAGACAGGAGTGTGCTTGATGGATTGCAAGAGAGAACAAACTATTGCAGCAATATATGAGAGGTAATAAAAACCCTGAACTATAGTAGTGTCAGTGATAACTGGGAATAGATAGTTCATGCTGGCTGATTAAAGGATCACAGTGACTCTCAGACCTCAGAATGCATAAGAATCACCTGAAAAGCTTATTAAAATACAGATTCCTGGGCCCTACTCCCAGACTGATTCAGTAGGTCTTATTGATGCCCAAGAAACTAGTTTTAATAGCTTCTTCAGGTGATTCTTTGTGAAACACAGGCCTCAGGTTCTGTACTCTTCCCTCTTCTCCCTAGAAGATCCTAACCTTCTCAAAAGTGATCTCAGATGTACTACTCTAGAACTGGTGTCCCAAGTTTCATCTGCCAGACTCTGTCACCTGGACAGTCTGTTGGCACCTCTAGTGTGTTCAGAAGTAAATTCACCATCTCATCCCTTGCTCCTTCTCCTCCTGTTTTCCTTTGATGCTTCTGATATCACTAGTCTCCGTGCTGTGGCCCTGACTCATCATGCTTAAATATCAACCCCATCCACCATAATCCACATACAATTTTAATTTTTTTGTGATCTGTCTCATATATATCCTACTCCTTTTCTATTTCCATTGCCTCCATGCTATTACCTTCTACCCAGGCTATTGCAATAGTTTCCAACCTTGTCGCCCTGCCTCTAATCATGCTGTCAGAATAAATCCCTTCTAAACTGCAGCTCCAAATATGTAACTCTTTGTAGTAGAGTTACTCTGCAGATTAAAGACCAACCTCAGCTTGGCAACATGACTTCCATGGGTGCCTATTCTATACTGACTGCCTTATTTTTCTAAGGACTGGAAATTATATATGTAAAGTTCCTACTCTAAAGGTGGTCTTCAGTAATGGTAATTATTATTGTTGCTGCATTCACCCTATCATAATCCAGCTACATAAGATCACTTGGTATGTTCCCTGCAGTTTTGTGTTGCTTGTACTTTCTTCATCAAACTTTCACTGAACCTCTCCACATCTTAGATGTTATCTTTTCTGAGAAACCTTCCCTGATTCTCCAACCATGATGTAATGTGTTTGTACTTTGAGCCCCAGAGGACACTGGACATCTTGTTGTACCTTGTGTGATCCCTTCCCTTCATTGGAATGTGGGCTCCTTGGGGATCAGCACAGAGGTCTTGATCTCTTGTTCCTTCCAGCTCTTTCTAGTTTCCTGCCCTAGCTAGTGCTCTCTTAACATCTATTGAATGGAAACTGTGGTTGTTACTGATCATGTTTGCTGATAAAAGCTTAAAAGGCCTTTCTCTAGGCTTATCCCATTTTAAAAAGAGAATTCTTAGGGAAAACAAACACAAAAACCCTCTGGATATAAAAGATTGAGGCTGAACTGACTGGCAGTGGAGTTGATATTTTAGGTTAGGGGCTGCCCATTCTACCTTGAAATACCAGCCCTAGGCATATACCAATGATGACACCATTTTATGGCCGTAGTCGCTCACCTTCATGAACCAGGCTACAGCAAACCAAAGTATCCTTCTGAACACTCACCAACTGCTTTGCCAACCCCCCACCATGTCCTTTGCTTCTTTCCTTTTTAGGGTGTAAGTACAGAAGCCTTAGCATAGCTGCTTGCCTCCCTTACTAGAGATTTACTGCTGCATGAACAGGTATCAAAACCAAAAGACCAAAATGACCCCAAATAGCCTTGTAGGCCAGAGAAATCATTGCAATGAAATCAACAAGCACTGTTAATATCCCAGGCAAGAAAGTAATTTTGCAATATAAAAAATTTCCTTTGTTATAGTTATATTAATTATAGTAGGATTTCTACTGTGTACCTAGTAAGCTGGGTAAAATATGGATAAAAGTTACTATAGGCATCTCAACCTAACTTAAATATGTCATGTATTTTTATCAACTGGAACTGTAACTCCATTTTAGAAAACTGGTTTAAACTTTATAAAGAACAGCTACATTTGCTATATTTTGGATTTAGACACTACATTCAGGATGTCATTTTTAAATAAAAATAATTTTGATCAGTAACCATATGCCTTACATTCATTACTCACTGTTAAATATTTTATGAATCTTTTAGTTGTGTGATCCAGAAAAGAATGAAAAATGGCAACAACTTCTTTTGCAAGAGGTACAGATGGGAGAACTTTGGTTATCTAGAGGTAGGAACGTAACATTCTTTTGTAAGTTATTTTAAAATTGATGTTCAAGAAATATTTATTGATTAGTATATATATGTCAAATAACTAGCTAGATGTGTTAACCAGTTTGTTCCAGTTAAAGAGAAACTGTCCCAGCATTTTTACTTCATCACATTGTCCTCCTCCACTATGTTAGTGTTCAAGTTTATGTTGGCAGTTTCAAAAGTGTGCAGATGGGAAAACCAAACCAAACATGAGAACACCTCATTTATTGTCATGGAAAATTCTAAGTAAATGAATTTTACAAATGACTGAATGTTAAGAATTAGAATTTTAAAATTTTGACTGGTTTACAAAATTTTCCGATTTTCTTAGAATATTCTTTATAAAATACTTTTGTTGGTATCATTATGAATGACCATTCTTGTACTATGTTTAATGTGGTGATGCCTATAGGGGCTACCGTACACTTAGTGGTCATAAACTATATTTTGAATTATAATTTATTTCCACCTAATTCCAGATGGATTTGACAAAACTTCACAATACTGTCAATATTGGTAGTAGATAATATATATTATGTATAAATATTATGTATGGCAATCATAATGTTTTTATTCTGGTGTTAAACCCTGGAAAAGAATTTGTATTAAGACTTCTTAATCTAAGGGATGACTGATGCTGCTGATAAATCTGCATTATACCCATCAAGTACTGTATTAAGTGTTACAAACTCTCACAATGCCTGTACCTGTTTTTGCTTTTCTGTTGCCTTTTTTCAAAAGAATTTTTCAACCTGTATGTAAGTGGGTAGCATCCTCCAGGATTTATAAAAACAAAGAGGAAGTCATGGCCTGGCGTGGTGGCTTACGCCTGTAATCCTAGCATAGCACTCTGGGAGGCTGGGGGGGGGGGATTGCTCAAAGTCAGGAGTTTGAAACCAGCCTGAGCAAGAGCGAGACCTGTCTCTGCTATAAATAGAAAGAAATTAATTGGGCAACTAATATATGTAGAAAAAATTAGCCGGGCGTGGTGGCAAATGCCTGTAGTCCCAGCTACTCGGGAGGCTGAGGCAGGAGGATTGCTTGAGCTCAGGAGTTTGAGGTTGCTGTGAGCTAGGCTGATGCCATGGCACTCCCTCTAGCCTGGGCAACAAAGCAAGTCTCTGTCTCAAAAAAAAAAAAAAAAAGAGGAAGTCATGATCCTAGACAACTCACAGCAACAGCAATGCCCAAGAATTTTACTTTATTCAATGACTTAAAACCATATAAAGGTTTTGAGAAATGAAAAAAGTTGCAGCCATTCAAAATCATTGCACATTAATTATAATTTATCCTTTTGTTTTTTTGACCCACAATTCACACACAAGATTTATATTCTTTTTCTTAAACAGGGGCACTAAAATTGTGTAAGCTAGAGGTCTCACAAAATCTGGATTCATCCCTAGATATGGGTCAATTAAAATAGATAAAACCTTTCAACTTTAACTTTTATTGAATTGGGTAGTATATAGGTAGGGAAGAAAATTCCGAATTATAAGTCAAAAGAAAAAATAACATTTTATCACATTTTATTCCCATTTACTTTATGTTTAACAGCTATCGTGTAATAGTTTGGATTTAGAGGTTGATAGGTTACAAATATTTTAATGATTAGAACAAAAATTGCAAACTTGGGTTTTTAAATTTTTTCCTCTCTCACAGGTGATAACATTTTTTTTGTGAACCCTTAAATTGATATATTAGCTCTCTAAGGGTTATATACTTTTTCTTATCATCCTGTTATTTTTAGAAGAGTTATATACTTATATAAATTTAATGCAGTTTTCAATCTTGGCTGCTTATTCTTTTACTCTCTATCAAACCCCAAACCAATTAAATCAGAATGGGGTGGATTCCAGGTGTATTTTTAAAAATTTCCCTAGATTACTAAACTATAAATCCAACATTGAGAACCAGTATAGTATTATAATGTGGTAATTTTTCACCCAGTTTTTACAATCTTCTTGACATTCTCTATTGTCCTTTGCCATCTCCCCAATTTTCATTTCTTTGCTATTAGGTAGAATGTAGTTCTATAGCCATCTCAATTGTGGCTATGTGTATAAGGGACCATAGGCCCAATAATTTTGATTGAAATTTCTAAGGAGCTGGTATGACTGTGTTTATTGGTTGGTTGACTTAATTCACCAAATCATATCAGCTCCATGAAGCTATAATATTGTTAATTTCAAATAAACCTTAGTAAAATACTAGGACAGTATTTCATGTGAGAAATACCTTCTTATTAAATGTGTGAGAAATACATTACTAAAAACTCAGCAATGAAAATTTCTCATGTTGAAAATGTAAAATTAAGTATCTAGACAGACACAAAACCTAAGTTTTAAAATCTACATCATATTGAGAAAGCTTGCTTTGTGTACCTAAGTCAGGTCATGTCCCTTAAGGTTTTTCAGTTTAAGCTTAATACAAATCTTTGGAAAACATTTTTTCCTGTCATGTCCTTTTCATATGATCATGTATTTCAACCAATAAATGGAAAATTAGTTTCAGTTAGTAAGAACCCTATATATTTAATTGTAGTGAAATACATTTCCTACCCTACTTAAAGTATCAATTTCTATGATTATATAATACCAGAAGAGAGGCAGTGTACTCTAGTCCCAGTGGTCAGAAAATTAGGTTCTGTTCCTAATTCTGGCATTAATCAGTTTTCAAACCTTAAATCATTTCACTGATCTTTGCCTCGGTTTCTTAAAAGTAAAACAAGGGAGTAAGACTAAGTCATTCCATGTCCTAACTTAAACAGAAATGCTATCATTAATTTCTACTCTTCACAAATTTTTATTCCTTGTTTTTTCACAGCCAATCATCCTAAAACTCATTTTAAAACTTTACTTAGAAATCATAGTTCATACATTTCTTATTTTCTATCTCTGGATATATAATTCATGTTATATTAGATCTTGTTTCAATTTTGATAGTGAAATCTATTTTTAAAGATTCATCTAGCTAGAATGGATGTTTCATTTGTAATATTTTACCAATCACACATGTAAAGATAACCCATCTCGTGTTAATAAAAGCAGTCCACACCTTTTTAAAGAAAACCCTCAGTACCCTCTCCTTCACATACCCAAATTGTGGGACATGACCTTTTCTTATCAAGAGTGCAATTCTAAATAGTAAGAATACACTTACTGTAATTTGCCCCATAATTATTCATATTGCAGCTTCACCATGGTGAAGCTCAACATTTCCCCCATTTGTACTCTACTCTTCACAAGACTTGTCTATATAGTCTTTAGTTTGATATGCTCTTCAATTTTTAAAGCTTGTTGCTTTCTTGGTAATTTGTAGAATCTCTATTTTGAAGAACTTTAAAATTTTGCTCAAAACTTACCAATCTGTTTCAGGAGAACACAGAATGGGCGTTGAACATCTCAGCAATGCCCTTTTAGTGTGTGGGCAACCACAGGAACTTCTGAAGGTTTACAAACACACACTCCCTCCCAAGGTATTTGAGATGCTGTTGCAAAAAATTCCCCTTATTTGCCAGGTGAGCACATATTTCATTATCTTTGACAAATGTACATAATAAACAAGCATATTGGGCTTGATTATATAGAAATTGCTAAGTACATGTGTAAATTGGCTAAAATTTTGAGTGCAATCTCTGAATTTTTGGTTGCTTCTCTTTAAGATGAAGCAAGCCTATTCTTTCATGTTCCTTTGACTATAATGAACTGTATATTTTGTTGAGTATTATACGTGTTTCAACACTTCAACTTTAAAGTAGAACAATACTTCTGCTTTCTATTAACAAACAGAACACAGAAATCATTTTGGTAAATATAAGCATACAGGCTAATTAGTGTTCTCTTAAATACAAGTTTAGATTGGTATCAAACGAAATCCATTCATAAGTCATTTGATTAACAGGTATTAGTGCACTTACATTTTACTGAACTGCTTGGTATACTTATACATCAACTACAATTACTAGGATTTCCTTCAGGATTCATTAGTCATAAGATATTACTTTAACTTTAGTTCACTTTTTATTAGACTGATCCCATGTCATGGCTAAGAATAAACTGTATATTGTCAACCAGACTCAGAATCATTCATTGGACTTCTTAGGCTTTGAACAAAACACAAACAGACTCCAGCAGAGCATAACAGTTAACTCTTAAAAATTCCCAAGCTAGTCACACATAGGATGTTTCCTGAAGATATATGCAAATGTCAGTAGGATAGGAATATGTAATGCTCACCCTGACACAAGGGAGGCAAAAAAAGGATTGTGGATTGAAATGATTAGCAAGTAACTATTTTATGTATTTACCAGCAATTTGAGGCAGACATGAATGAAAAGGAATACTTGGAGGACGATCCTGATTGAAAAACATTTCAACGTGTCCACAGTCCAGTCAGAATACTATGGTACTATATAGTATAAACAACTGCTCAGTGATATTTCCATTTATTTTACTTTTAGTAATAAAAATTTTTTTCTATCTCATACATGATTGGACACATATTTTGCTTTAAAATTAACAGTCAAAATTGAAGAAACAATGGTTTATTTTTCTAATCAAGTGACCAAGCTGCTGAATCTTAAGGCCTCAATAAATGTTGCATCTTATTATTTTCATTGAATAAAACCTTCTATTTTGATTATTCCTGGTAAGTAGCAATTTTGTTTCTCCAGTGGCTTCCATTTGCCAAACAGTCATGACAGATGGTTTAACATGGTGGCTGCTGCTTTCAGGGGGTTCTGTCAGGTGACTCCTCATTTCCAGTACAGCAGCTCTTGGTAATCTTTCATCAAAAGTCCATCCATCAGGACTTCTCTATCGTGGCTGGCCAAGGAGTCCTGCTTTGGCTGCCAGAGCCTCATTCTGCTGAATATGATATTCCTGAAATCTCATGGATATTCTCTGTGTCATTTTTAAATATTTCTGTAAGCAATGTTCTGAACAGGTGGTCTAGAAATAAAAAGGGAAGATCCAAGAGGCAACACAAAATAACAATTTTTTAAAATGCATGTATTCCAAAAGAACAGCCAGTGGGTGCTTTTCTTTTCTTTGAATCTATCTGAGAATTAAATATTATTATTAATGGGTAGCAAGTGACCATAGCTTTTAATTGTTGATACTTTAATGCATTGACAAGAATATATATTGAATGCCTACCAGTTTGTAGAAACTAAGAACAATGATTTTTGCAGATATGCTTCAATATTAAGTGTAAGCCCACATACCTATTCCCTTATTCAGACTGTTAACATGTAGACCCAATAGCAAGTTTTTTTTTTTTTTTTGAGACAGAGTCTCGCTTTGTTGTCCAGGCTAGAGTGAGTGCTGTGGCATCAGCCTAGCTCACAGCAACCTCAAACTCCTGGGCTCAAGCGATCCTACTGCCTCAGCCTCCCGAGTAGCTGGGACTATAGGCATGTGCCACCATGCCCGGCTAATTTTTTTTAATATATATATCAGTTGGCCAATTAATTTCTTTCTATTTATAGTAGAGACGGGGTCGTGCTCTTGCTCAGGCTGGTTTTGAACTCCTGACCTCGAGCAATCCGCCTGCCTCGGCCTCCCAGAGAGCTAGGATTACAGGCGTGAGCCATCGCGCCTGGCCTCAATAGCAAGTTTTTTAATAAGAAACCTTCTTTTTAATTAGAAACCCCATTTTCAATGTTCTTAACTTAATTCACAACTTTTAAACTCAATTTTTTAACAAGTACTTATTGATTGATGGTTATATACTAGGTTCTTGGCATGCTTATTTATCAACATCTTCCACTGAAGGATGTTTATGTCATTTTGAACAAATATATAAGTGTTTGGATTAAGAACATTAAAAAGTTAATACTTCTAATAGGGTTGGGTTTTCAGAGTCCACCTATGTAATACGAGCCACCAAATTCAAGCTTTGCTTTTTTCAAACTCTAGTTAACTAGAGTTCTCAGGGCCAGGAAGAAAGGCTGTGTCAAGTTTCTCTAGCCAGGCCATTTTGACTGAAAGGTTATTAGTAAGAATCTTTGCTGTGGAACAATAACTCAGCAGCCCCAGGCATCTCTAAAATGGTCTGCCTTGGTACAATATGACTGTCATATTAAATTTGGCATTGTTAAACTTAGTGAGGCCAGGTGTGGTGGCCTACACCTGTAAGCACTTTGGATGGCCAAGGAAGGAGAATCACTGAAGGCCAGGAGTTTGAGACCAGCCTGAGCAACACTGAGAGACCTCATGTCTGCAAGAAATAGAAATATTAGCCAGCCATGGTGGCATGTGCCTGTTAGTCCCAGCTACTCAGGAGGCTAGGACAGGAGGATTGCTTGAGCCAGGAGTTGGAGGTTGCAGTGAGCTATGATGATGCCACTGCACCCTAGCCTGGGAAATGGAGCAAGACCTTGTCTCGAAAAATCATACCAAAAAACAACAATAAAAATCCCTCAATGCCATGGGGTCCTTGGCTGTTTCAGTGCCTCAAAGCAATGGAACATAAAAGGTAGCCCAAATTCTTATAGTAAGTAGGAAAAAGTGAAATGTTTAGTGTGATCCTATTTATGTTATTCATGACAAGCTTGGAGAATTTTTAGTGAGCAACATCTTTTCATACCTCTTCAGGTTTTACTTCTCTTGTTGTGAAGTCTTTAACACAGTCCAAAAAGCAGGTTTCTGTAAGTTTATTGTAGGTCCCAAGAAATTCCTTAAACTACAAACAAATCAGAAGGTTCTTTAATATTTGGTTTTTAAAACAAAGATGCTTTGAAACTTAAATTACCAATATTTTGTATTTAAACAAAATACCCTGTAATACCTGAAATCATAGGTTGTTTTGCTAGCTTAAATTGGTATAATACGATCTATAACATAGTCTTATTTTCTAGTTGAATATTTTTCCTTATCAGTCAAATGAAAAATACACCTGCTCCATAGTGTTTACGATCCACTTTTGGAAATGAAACAGAAACAATTATTTTGACTGACATAGTTGCATACAGTGGTGCCTTTATCTTTTTTTGCAAACTCCCTTTCCCTTAATTAGAATACCTTACCTGTTTTATCTGATCAGATTCTGGTATTTGTGCAGCCATATTCTTTTGGTACCTTTATTAGTCACCTGATTTAAAAATTAAAAAAAAAGAAAAAAGATTGTTAATCTATAAATAAATGTTTTTAGGTTAACTGAAGAGTTAGGTAATCATTGTTCATATTTTGTAAATTTTTCTGTGTATATAATATGCCACCCCCCCTGTTTCCCAGATCATTAAGAGGTTTTTTTTTTTTTGAGACAGAGTCTCACTTTGTTGCCCAGGCTAGAGTGAGTGCCATGGCATCAGCCTAGCTCACAGCAACCTCAAACTCCTGGGCTCAAGCAATCCTCCTGCCTCAGCCTCCCAAGTAGCTGGGACTACAGGCATGCGCCACCATGCACGGCTAATTTTTTCTACATATATTAATTGGCCAATTAATTTCTTTCTATTTATAGTAGAGACGGGTTCTCACTCTTGCTCAGGCTGGTTTTGAACTCCTGAGCTCAATCTGCCTGCCTCGGCCTCCCAGAGTGCTAAGATTACAGGTGTGAGCCACTGCGCCCGGCCGATAAAAGAGTTTTAAAATATTAGTATACATACTAAAGAATTGTAACTTCAGGATAGAGCAAACTAATTTCACTTAATAATAAGGAAGACGCTTTTTTTTAAAGAAAAAAAAATGATTTAAGCAACAGAAATTTGGATTTTATCAAAGAACTTGAACGGGCCTCAGTAGTCATTTTATAATACCCTCATTTTTCAAGTAAGAAACAGCCTCTCTGGAGACATTCAACCAAAAGTTGGACAATTCTCAGAAAAATAGGGAAAAAAAGGGGACCTTTTCAACTTGATAGACATCTACAAAAAATTCCATAGCCAACATATTTAATGGTGAAGTAGATAATATTTTCCTATAAGATTGTGAGGAAAGATGTCCACTCTCACCACTCTCATTCAACATACTGCTGAAAGTTCTATCCAGTGCAGTAAAGCAAGAAAAGGAAATAAAAGACATAAAGAGTGTAAAGGAAGAAAATAAAACTATCTCTATTTGCAGATGACATGATTGTGAACATAGAAAATCCTAATACATCTACAAAAAAACTTACAATTAACAATTGAGGCCGGGCGTGGTGGCTCACGCCTGTAATCCTAGCACTCTGGGAGGCTGAGGCAGGCAGATTGTTTGAGCTCAGGAGTTTAAGACCAGCCTGAGCAAGAGTGAGACTTCATTTCTACTAAAAAAATAGAAAGAAATTAGCTGGACAAATAAGAATATATATATAAAAAATTAGCTGGGCATGGTGGCGCATGCCTGTAGTCCCAGGTACTCAGGAGGCTGAGGCAAGCAGGACTGCTTGAGCCCAGGAGTTTGAGGTTGTTAGAGTGCCATGGCACTCTAAACCTGGGCAACAGAGTGAGACCCTGTCTCAAAAAAAAAAAAAAAAATTCAGTTTAGCAAGAATGCAGGATCCACAATAAACATACAAAAATCAATTATATTTCTATATATTAGCAATGAACACATGCACACTGAAATGAAAAATAAAATACTATTTACAATTACAAAAAAAAGGATTTAGGGGTAAATCTAAAAAATCTAACAAAACATGTATATAGGGCTTCTATGTTGAAAACTACAGAATGATGACAAAAGAAATCAAATACATAAAAGTCTACCTGATTTCAAGACTTACACAGCTACAGTAATCAGTGCTGTGTAGTACTGGTGGAGGGACAAATAGATCAATATAATAGAGAACCCAGAAATAGATTCACACAAATAAGCCCAACTGATTTTTGGTAAAGCTGTAAAAGCAATTAAATAAAGGAAGGATAGCATTTTCAACAAATGGTACATCCATAGTCACAAACTTTAACCATGAATTAAGTCTCTCACCTTACACAAAAATTTACTCAAAATGAATCAGGGACTTTAAAAAATGTCTGACAAGGATTCATTGCTGCTAAAAAAAATGCTTTGTGAAAGATATTAACAGAATGAAAAGATGAGCTATATAGACTGGGAGAAAATATTTGCAAACTGAATATCTAACAAAGAACTAGTAAGTAGAAGATATCAAGAACTCTTAAAATTCAACAATGAAAACAATTAGTAAATGGGCAAAAGCTATGAGAAGATATTTCATTAAAGAAGACATACAGATGGCTAGTAAGCACATGAAAAGATGTTCAACATCATTAGCAGTTAGAGAAACACAAATTAAAACCACAATGAGGCCCAGAGTGGTGGTGCATCCCAGTGCTTTGAGAGGCAAAAGGATCACTTGAGGCCCAGGAGCTTGTGACCCACCTGGGCAACAGAGTGAGACCACATTTCTACAAAAAAAGTTTTAAAAATTAGCTGGGTGCAGTCATATGCAACTATCATACGACCCAGCAACTGCATGTCTGGGCATTTTTATCTTAGAGAAATGGAAATTTATGTTCACACAAAAACTTGTATGTGAATGTTTATAAGAACATATATATATGTTCTTTTATATATTGTATGATTGTATAAATACAATCATTGTATTATCATTGTATAAATACAATGACAGCACCCCCCACCCCCTTTGAGACAGAGTCTCGCTCTGTCACCTGGGCTAGAGTGCCATGGCGTCAGCCTAGCTCACAGGAACCTCAAATGCCTAGGCACAAGTGATTCTCCTGCTTCAGCTTCCCGAAAAGCTGGAACTAAAGGCATGCGCCACCTCATCTGGCTAATTTTTTACATTTTTAGTAGAGACAGGTCTTGCTCTTGCTCAAGCTGGTCTTGAACTCCTGAGCTCAAACCACCCTCCTACCTTGGCCTCCCAGAGTACTAGGATTACAGGTGTGAGGCACCTGCACCCAGCCTACAATGATAGAATTACAAAAATGGAGACCATATCAGTGGTTACTAAGGATTAAGGAAGGGGTGGGGACAGGAGGGAAGTTACAAAGGGTATTGTTACAAAGGCAAGGAGAGACCTCTGTAATAGAAATATTCTGTATCTTGACTGTATCAATATCCTTGTTGTGATATTGTACTCTTTTGTAAGATGGTAACATCTTACAAAACTGGGTAAAGGGCATAAGGGATCTTTGTATTATTTTTTATAACTGCATGTGAATCTATGATAATCTTAAAGCTACTCAGGAGGCTCACTTGAGCCCTGGGGTTTGCAGCTAGAATGAGCTACGACTGGGCTACTGCACTCCAGCCTGGTTGACAGAGCAAGATCTTGTTTCTAAAAATATAAATAAATAAAAGAAAAAAAATGATATTGTACAACTTCATAGTCCTTGCCAAAGAATAAGATGCAAGTTCCAAATTAGGGTTCTTTTGGATTCTCACTAAGAAAAGAATCTGAAAAGATCCAAGAACTAGGAAGACAACTTTTTTGGAAGTATTAAATGAAAGCATTGTTTTGTGGGAACTTAAAAAATACAGGGGTAATATAAGATGCATAAAGAACTTGGTTTACCAACAGGCTTCCAGCAGAATGTACAAGAGGTCGTCACCCACTAGACCTTGGGCCTTTTGTATTGTTGAACTAGTACAGTACACCACTGTACTTCAGAAAGACATGCAGCAAACTGGACTTTCTACAAGTGACACCAAAAAGAAAATATCTGATTTCCTTACTTATAACACCTTAAAAATTTACATGATTGCTAATAGTAATGCCAAAATCTCATTCTCTTTTTTATTCCCATCCTTGTATTTCTTTGGGTTAAAATTCATATTTATTGATTTTTTTCAACCAGAGGTCAGAAAGGCAGAAAGTATGAAATCTTTAAATGGTCTGTAAGTTTCTTTTTTTTTTTAAGATAGTCTTGCTCTGTCACCCTGGCTAGAGTGCTGTGGTGTTAGCCCAGCTCATAGCAACCTCAAACTCCTGGGCTCAAGCAATCCTCCTGCCTCAGCCTCCCAAGTAGCTGGTGCTACGGGTGCGTGCCAGCATGCCCGGCCAATTTTTCTAAGTTTTGTAGGTCTGGAACTTGCTCAGGCTGGTCTGGAACTCCTGACCTCAAGTAATCCTCCTGCCTCCCAGAGTGTAAATTTCAGAGACTAGTATAGTGTGCTGCCTTTACCCCAACTTTCCCATTATACAATTCATGGTGACAAATGATGGCTATTATTGGGAAGAGGAGCCCCCCAAGTAGTGTTGGTGTGACTATTCTTTATTTAAAATTATTTTTTTGATATTGTCTTTCAACATACATTCCTTAATCGCTTGAACCCAGGAGTTCAAGGCTGCAGTGAGCTGTAATTGTACCGCTGCACCCCACCCTGGGCAACAGAGTGAGACCTTGAGGCCTTGTTTCTTAAAAAAAAAAAAAAAAAAAAAAATTATATAAATACACACACACTCTTAAACAGTATGTTTCTTCCTGAAATGAAATAAAGGTTATCACACTATAAAATATAATCTATTAAGTTTTGGGGAATAAAAGATAAATAGTTCTATCATTCAAAAACTACTATGTTAACATGATTTTTCTCTAGAATAATTTGATTAGATATATTTTTAAATATTTTCCAGATCTACAATTAATCTCAAGAGCTAACAGTCAGCAGTTTTCTCAAGTCTGCTTAAATCTCCAAAGCTATTTTCTATAGGCACCAATATCAAGATTATGGTACACAGAATTGTAGGCAATTGTTCTTAGAAAATACTGGAGACAACTGAGTGAATACTTCAGACAACTTACTGAATGATTTTCAGATTTATTTGCTAGTTTGAGGTCTTTTAAACCTTCCACCATTCATTTTGTAGTGATTTAATCATAAGTTATGATGACTGACAAAGTCCAACAGCCACACAAACCACCTGATGGTAAGAATAGGTAGGATTGTGGTTGTTCTTTTATTTGATCCTACTTTCTAGATATTACAACAAATGTTGTTACTATAGAGGCAAAGATCCAATCAGAGGTTACCTTCTGGTTATATCTCTGAAACCTGGAGAGGGAAAGAAGGAATTGGAGAGTTCTAGAGTCCCTGGCTTAGATCTTGGGAATCATTACAGCAATGCTGTTATTTTTGTGCCAAACAAAATATAACATAGAACCAGGGAAGTTAAGTGTAAAGGAAGATCTTATCGGACATCAAGCTCAAACCTTTTCTGATGCATGAGTTTCCTTTCTGTTCTGGAAAAGTTGTCCAACTTTTGCTTCAATGTCTCCAGTGAGGTTGTTTCTTACCTGAAAAATGAGGGTATTATAATATGACTACTGAGACACATTCAAGTTCTAACAGTCTTTGATAAAATCCAAACTTCTGTTGCTTAAATCGTTTTTTTTAAAGCCTCTTCCTTTTATTAAGTGAAATTAGTTTGCTCTATCTATTCTGAAGTTAAATTCTTTAGCATGTATACTAATATTTAAAAAAATACATATTGTCATGCTATCCTTATTTTTCCATGTATAGTATATACATAAGTATATAAGATACAAATCCTTATTTTTCCAATGTATAGCTCCATGTAATTACATTACACTTCTCTTATGGTTGTCCTAATAATCCTAGGAGGGCTGATTGAGAAATATCAAGAAAGTTACTGGGCAGCTGGGCCTACTATACTAAGGGATTTGGACTTTAAAATCCAGTATTTTCCCCTTCATACCCCAAGACCTAAAAACATTTTCCAAATAGCCAAACACATGTTATAAGCTAAGTGATTAAACCTAGCATCACAAAACATGGGTCTCAACATTAGGTGTCTCATGGTGTGATGCATTAAGGTACACAGCATTACCTATGTGGTATTCCTGCCAAAATGTTTATCTGACTCTGATCATGAGGGGATAATTAGGAAATTCTACAATATGGGATAACTTATAGGATGACTGGGCTGGTCTTTTAAAAAATGTCAGTCATAAAGAAAAGGGGTTTTGGGACTGATCTTGATTAAGAAGCTAAAGAGTCATGACAACTAAACACAATGTGTAGACCTTGATTGGATCCTGAATCAAAAAAGAAACATTTTTTAGATTAAAATAAAGGCATTTTTGGGATAACTGGGGAAATTTGAATATATTAAGTATGATAATCTTATTGAGGCTATGTAATATAATGACCTCAAGGAGATCTACGCTGTACAAATTAGGGTTTAAAGGCCATGATAGCTGAAACTTATTTGCAAATGGTTCAGGAAAAAAATGTATATTTATATACATATATGTAGAGAAAGAGAGTAAGAAAGAGAAATCAAATTCAGTAAAAAATGCTAACAGAATAGAAATAAAAGAAACAAAAAATCTCATAAGCCATGTTTTTTGTTCTAGGGCTATCAGTATCTTTTATTCATTAGGTCAAATGTCTAAATTGATCTGAACTAACTTGTTTGATATAACTGAACAGGACTCTACCAGATGACCTTTTAGTTTAGATTATTTGCAGCAGGTTTAGGAAGTTATATCTGATTAATTGACAGCCGTACTCATCTTATTATTAACCAGAGCAAAACACACTTTGGAAAGACTACTGCATACTGCTTTCAGTTTGAAAGGCTAGCTTCAAGGCAAAAAGTATGAGCCTAGGAATACTAGACTAAATGGGACAAGACTACCTGGGTTTTGTTTTTGTTTTTTGACAGAGGGTCTTGCTCAGTTGTCCGGGCTAGAGTGCAGTGGTGCCATCATAGCTCACTGCAACCTCAAACTACTAAGCTAGAGCGATCCTGCTGCCTCAGTCTCCCAAATAGCTGGGCCTAAATCTTGGGTTTTAATATCAGCTGTGATATTAAAGGACTTTTAGGATCCAAATTATTTATTCAAGTTATTTTAACGAGTGCCTACGCTCAGACCTTAGAGACTAGAGGAGAGAAATCACTGTTTCTTTCACAGCTAAGTTTCACCTAGAAAATAAGTGAGTTAAATAATCTCCAAGGTCTCTTGCCGCTCTGACACTGTCATTCTATCTTTTAATAAACATACTATACAACAAATTGTGAACTAACAGGTACAGCCTATGAACTCAATAACGAAGGAGAAAACGTAACTGATATAAAAAATGATCATTAATTACAGAAACTCATCAAGATACAAAAAAAAATATTTAAAAGGTTCTCCCTGCCGGGCGCGGTGGCTCACGCCTATAATCCTAGCACTTTGGGAGGCCAAGGCGGGCGGATCGCTCAAGGTCAGGAGTTCAAAACCAGCCTGAGCGAGACCCCGTCTCTACGAAAAATAGAAAGAAATTAATTGACCAACTAAAAATATATATACAAAAAATTAGCCGGGCATGGTGGCGCGTGCCTGTAGTCCCAGCTACTCGGGAGGCTGAGGCAGTAGGATCGCTGAGCCCAGGAGATTGAGGTTGCTGTAAGCCAGGCTGATGCCACGGCACTCACTCTAGCCTGGGCAACAAAGTGAGACTCTGTCTCAAAAAAAAAAAAAAAAAAAAAGGTTCTCCCTGATGGGTCCTTTTAAGTCTAGGCTTCATGAAAGTAGATAGCTGAGATATAAAAAAATAAAATCCGTTATTTAGCTTTTACGTCGGACATTTTTTTGCTCTGACTAATCTATTTTAAAGCCTCTAGTAAGGCATAAAGCGAAAACTCTAGGGGCGATCTCGAAAATTAGCACATCAGGGGAGTGTTATTACCTCTGGTATTCCGTCTAGGGAGGATATTTCAGTTAAAGGAGGCTCTTCTACCTGTCGGCTCAAGGTCACGGTGTGGTTACCCTACAGTCTAATTCTCTCACTGTCCCAAAACAAGACTCTGACTTCCCAAATTTGGGTTGGGGCTGGCTCAGGGCCTCAAGTTTCTGCCCTCACCCCGCTGACACGGCCCCTGGCTAGGTAAGAACCCGCCCGGAGGACGCGATGCCCGGCTCCGCAGCCCCAGACAACCACACGTACACGCGGCGGCCTCCTCCGGAGACCCCTCCACCTTTCCGGACCATAGCCTGCTGCCCCCCACCCGGGAACCGGGATTCTGAAGGCAGAGAAAAGAGACCATACTCAAGCACAGGCTCCCGCTTCCGACATCTGTACGAGGCTGGGGGGCTGCGCTGGGTTGAGTCTGGGGACAGAGGGTCAGGATCAGGGTAGGCGCTGCGGTCGCTGCATAGGAAAGAACACGTGGGAGCGGTGATGTCAAGAGCACTTAAACCCTTCTTCGTCGATTCGTTATAAGGCGAGGACATCTAGAGGAAAAATCCTATACCAAGAGAGAATTATAAAATCACCGAAGAAATAATTTGGTGATGTTTCTGCTTAGACAACGCTTTCTATTCCTGACTTCCTCCCCAATAGCGACCCGAATCTGTCGAAACGCTTTGGAAGCCTAATTTACTTAATTGCACCTCCCCAACGGTCTCCAAGAGCTACACTGTAAACGGTCCCTATTACACATATATAATATTACCGGCTAAGTCGGGAACTCTTCAGATCTTCGATGAGTCTCTCGGGTTTTATTTAATGTTAAATCTTGTGGGACAGTGTGCTACCTTAAAAAAAAATAAATCCACTCTGTTTTAAGTATTTTGTCGGGAGTTTGTTTCTACCCGGAGAAGTATGGAAGAGCACCGGAGAACACTTAGCTTTTTGGTTTCTTGGCGCGCATGCGTGTTGTGTCTCAAGGGCGGGTTTAAAGGAAGTGGGTGTTGACCAGCGGGCAACTGAAGCTGTTGTCAGGTTATACCTGGGGGACTGCGAGGTTGCCGGACGTCCAGGAGTCCCACAGGGTGAATTTAGGTGTCCGATGGTTGCATCTAGAAGGGTGTGTAAGACTCTTTGACGAAGGCTATTAACCTTCTCATATGCGTGATTTTTAAAACAATAGCGTTTGGATTTTATCTGCTTGACTCCCTAATCTCAAACCTTAATCCCGCCTCTACGTCTGTTTGGTTTTGCGCTATCAACTCTTGGGGTGGGGAGTGCTCTGTTAATTATGGTTATTGTTCCTCATGCCGCCGTTCTCTTGTCACCCCCACTTTCAGATTCATTGGCGTGATGCATTGATAGACTGATTGCGATTAATGGGTACATATGACTTTATAGTCATTTTTAATTCTGGATTAAATACCAAAATTTAAATTTTCAGTTTAGTGGCTTTTTTAAAACAGTTGACTGCGTGTTCTAAAATCACTTTTGAGATTTACATTTTCTTTATCATATATCCCCCTTGCTCCTTCTACTCCTCGGTCCTCAAAGAGGTGAAAATTTTGTTTCGAAGTCTTATAAACACAGAAGAAAGTTCTTCCAGTCAGAACTGTGGGACTAGTTTTGTTAACAACAATATGAAAGGCTCTGAGGTTAGCCCGGAAAAGAAAAAAAGGGCTAAAATACCACCGAGGAGACTTCGTGAGGTAGATTCTCCAAATCATGGAGATAATTTGGCTTTGCTGAAAGATGAGTTGCCCTGTGTCCCTCCAGCGTTGCCTGCAAATAAACGTCTTCCTGTTAGAACGAGGACTAGCTTGAATGGAACATCATGTGGTATGTGATTCCATATAGTTTCTCAACCAGTTATCACTTTTTGAAATCTTTTAGTCCTTATTTTCATTTCATTTTGTTTTGAAATTTAGAGGATTCTTAATGTTTAAATTCCTGGAATGTAAGATAGAAGTCTAGTTTGCACATATGTTTGAACACTGAGTCTGTTTCCTGGGAAAATGGCCAGGCAGAGTCTACAGTGTTAGACTAGATTGAATGAATGAAACATTAACATCTCTTATTGTGGTTGGTTTTTTGTTTTGGGGGGTTTTTGTGGCGTGGGTTCTTGCACATTGTTCTTGTTCACATCTATGATGGATACACTTGTATAATGTGCTTTACTTTGCCCAGTTGCACTTTTTCCCAAATGCTCTATTTTCTTTTTGTAGTAGAAAAGCATGACTACCATTGATGGCTTCCGTATTCCAATTCACTTTACCTATTTAGAGCTCAGTGTAAATGAAGATAACATAGGCTTAACCCACTTTGCTGGTAATTTTTAGGATCTAATGAATATATGGGAAAAAACAACAAAATGCTTTAGTAATGGTGTTTTTTGGGGGGTACGGTGGTGACACTCTAATAGGCCTGCTGTTAAATCTGACTTTTACATCATAAACATATTTCTACCCATAGTTTGTTCACATCCAATAGTGTACTGATATATTTTAAAACATTTTATATATATCTCACTTTGTCAGTACTGAACCTTATTTTTCCAAGTATCAATTGTAAAAACTGTTGTTTGGGTATATATAAATACATTTTCTTGATTTTTTTTTTTTTGCATACAAAGTGTCTTCCAATTGAGTCTCACATTAATATGGAGTTTATAGTTCTTGAATCATGCCTATACAGTTTCTAAAGGCAAAGTTCAGATTTAAAAATCACTAAAATTGATTCTTTGATTTTGTTAGGTTCATCAGACTTAACTTCTGCTAGAAATTATCATCAGTCTTCATTAGAAAATCCTACTGCATCAGAAAGTGTAAGCAAAAGGATTCTTATTTATGCTTATGTTAAAATTTTCAGTATCATCAAATAATGTGTTCTTAAACTGTGTTTGATTATCAATATGCCTTGTTTTTATTTAAGTATCATTTAACCAGAACAAGTGTTTTTTTGTTTGTTTGTTTGATTTTGACAGAGTCTCACTCTGTTGCCTGGACTAGAGTGCTATGGTGTCAGCCTAGCTCACAGCATCCTCAAACTCCTGGGCTCAAGCAATCCTTCTGCCTCAGCCTCCCAAATAGCTGGAACTATAGGCATACACCACCATGCCCGGCTAATTTTTTCTATATATTTTTAGTTGGCCAATTAATTTCTTTCTATTTTTAGTAGAGATGGGGTCTCACTCTGGCTCAGGCTGGTTTTGAACTCTTGACCTTGAGCAGTCCTCTCGCTTGGGCCTCCCAGAGTGTTAGGATTACAGGCGTGAGCCACTGTGCTCGGCAGAAGAAGTGTTTTATATATTACAACTGTGACTTGAATAGCATTTGAGACATTAAACAAAAGGCATTCCCTAGAATTGAGAATATCTATTAGTGAGATATTGGCCACTGAAAGAAATATTTTAACTGAAAAGAAACTCTGTTACTATCTAGGGAAAGTTATTGTTGACCGGAGACTTAACATCCTCTTAGCTAAAGGAAAAGAAACAGTACCAACACAATTTAAAAAAAAAAAAAAGGGAGGTGTGATTACATAACATTCTAACTACTATGTGGTCTATTTCTTTTTTCTTTTTCCTTTTTTTTTTTTTTTTTTTTTTTTTGAGACAGAGTCTCGCTCTGTTGCCTGTGCTATAGTGCTGTGGGATCAGCCTAGCTCACAGCAACCTCAAACTCCTAGGCTCCTTTTGCCTCAGCCTCCCGAGTAGCTGGGACTACAGGCATGTGCCACCATGCCCTGCTAATTTTTTCTATTTTTAGTTGTCCGGCTAATTTCTTTCTATTTTTAGTAGAGATGGGATCTCACTCTTGCTCAGGCTGGTCTCGAACTTCTGAGCTCAAGAAATCCCTCCCGCTTCAGCCTCCCAGAGTGCTAGGATTACAGGTGTGAGCCACAACACCCTGCCTTGTGTGGTCTATTTTTTGGGGGGGACAGTTCTTTCAGAAATAATAACATGAAACTGTTGTCTTAACTTTTTTTATTATAATGCTGAAAGTATTTGATGATAATATAATGTTTTGGTCATGAAACCTAATGAGATTTTGACATCTAATCATGTTGACCAATGTGTTGTCAATTTAGTAAGTCTGTACAACAAGGGAGTTTTTTAGTGTGATATTTTGAAAATTAAAGCTTTGTTAATTAAGAATTAAATTGAGACTATTTACTTGACCCCTTTGTTAAAAGCTCACAATAAAATGTATAATTATGTGTGTACTTGGTCCCTGAGTAAATGCCTTGCCTTTGGGCTGGTGGTTTTTTATTTCTTTTTTGAACAGGCCTTTTAAAATGATTAATGATAATTGTATTCCATTACATAAATAATTACTCATATGTATGGATAGACTTTTATTGTATGATTGAGGATAAATGGGTGATCTTTGTAGTGAAGATAATCAGGCAGGATTTGATTTAATATGGGCTTACAGCTTGTTTTATATAGATTTGCCTAATGTAAAATGCCTGCAAAGCAAATCTAATTCAGTATCATTTTATCATAACACAAACTACAATCTTTTTGCATGATGTTTTTGTTTCATAAATGAGTGCCAAAGTTACAGTGTGGATTGACTTCACCATGTTTTTTTAATGAGAAAACTGAAGGAATTTGTAAATTTCCTCACATTTATAAATTCATTTTTATTTGCTCCTATTTTATCTATTTCTCCCTACTACCAGAAGATGGGATGTCCGTTTTCCTGTTTTGGGCTAATCCTTCCACAAAAACTGAAAAAAAAATTAGAAAATAAAAAGAGGAAAAGAGAAAAAAAACAACTAAAGCCAACAATTGTTAACATTTTGAGGTTTTTGTTCTCATGTATATTTATGAAATGGTACCATATTGTTTTATAACCAGGTAGTATTAAGGATGTCTTTCTATGTCATTGAATTTTTTTCTAGAAACTTTTAATGGGTTTATACATATTCAGGGTATATGTGTTTCATAGTTCATTTGTTTGTATTCCTTCATATGATGAGCTTTCTGGTGCATATCCAACGCCATTTCCTTAGGATTAATTTCTAGATGTAATTAGTAGATTGAAGGATATGCACACTTTTTAACATGTTTCTAAATTACCTCTTGAAAGACTGTACCAACCAGCCTGAGCAAAAGTGATACCGTGTCTCTACAAAAAAAAAAAAGAAAAATTAGGTGGACACAGTGGTGTGCCTATAGTCCCAGCTACTCAGGAGAATTGCTTGAGCCCAGGAGTTTTTTTTGTTTTTTGTTTTTTTTTTATGAGTCAGTCTCGGTTCTGTCACCCAGGCTAGAGTGCCATGGCATCAGCCTAACTCATAGCAAGTTCAGACTCCTGGGCTCAAGCGATCTTCTGCCTCAGCCTCCAACAGATGGAACTACAGGCATGCACCACCACACCTGGCTAATTTTTTCTATTTTTAGTAGAGATGGGGGGGGGTTCTCGTCCTTGCTCAGGCTGGTCGCAAACTCCTGACCTCAAGTGATCCTCCTGCTTTGGCCTACCAGAGTGCTAGGATTACAGGCATGAGCCACTGTGCCCAGCCAAGCCCAGGAGTTTGAGGTTGTGGTCAGCTATGATGATGCCACTGCACTCTAGCCCCTGCCGCAGAGTGAGACTCTGTTTCCAAAAAAATAAAAAAAGACTGAAGAGACTGTACCAATATATATATTCTCTGCAGCAAGATCATGAGTGAGTTATTTTCCTCTATCTTTACCAACACAGGACATTAAAATTAAACAAAAGAAATCTTTGCCATTTTGATAGGTTGAAAAAAAGCATTTCATTTTATTTTATATTTCTTTTTTTTTTTTTTTTTTGAGACAGAGTCTCGCTTTGTTGCCTAGGCTAGAGTGAGTGCTGTGGCGTCAGCCTAGCTCACAGCAACCTCAAACTCCTGGGCTCAAGCGATCCTTCTGTCTCAGCCTCCCAAGTAGCTGGGACTACAGGCATGTGCCACCATGCCCGGCTAATTTTTTCTATATATATTAGTTGGCCAATTAGTTTCTTTCTTTTTATAGTAGAGACGGGGTCTCACTCTTGCTCAGGCTGGTTTCGAACTCCCGACTTCGAGCAATCCGCCCGCCTCGGCCTCCCAGAGAGCTAGGATTACAGGCGTGAGCCACCGCGCCCAGCCCTATATTTCTTTTATAATTAGCAAAGGGGAGGTTTTTTTATGTATATGGCCATTTGTATTCATTTTTTTGTGAATTACATAATTCACAAAAGCTGAAAAAGAATTACATCTTTTTTTTATTTGTAGCAGTTCTTTATATTAATTTCCTAGATGCATTCTACTGTATTGTTAGTCTCATTGGCTATTTTGTATAAAGTTAACATCTGTCATCAGTGGATAGCCTGGAACAGTTTCCTTTTATGATTTTTTCCTTTCTTTTTCTGATTTAGCAGAAAAAGGGGAAAAATGTGTCTAAGGCAGATGAAGAGCAACATTGAATGAACCTAGTATAATTAAAGTCATAGTGTCTCAGCACTGAATAGAATCTTAGAGATGAAATCTAGGGTTATACATGTGAGCAGAAAGTTATTTGCTAGTAGGTGTCACCTATACAGAGGAGCCTTCTGAGTCTGACTCTCAGTACCACATTGGCTTGCTGGTACTTTTACTCATTCATTCACTTGTCTGACAGTGCATTCATTACTCACTCATTCAACAAATCCTTGAGTAGCTTCAAGGTATCTAAGCACTGAGTGGTGCTGGCAGTGAAGTTTATAAAATACATAGTCCTGCCCTCCCAGAACATGGTAGTCACATAGTTAGTAAATGGCACTTGATAAGTAATAAATCATAAAGCTTTATTTAGTCTCTTATTTCTTCTTTTCATATCCCAAAGGATTTTTCTAAAGACATCGCAATACAAGGGTTGCCTTTGGATAAAACAGAAGAGAGCAACAGACAAAAAGGTAAAAGAATAGAAATGATTTTTTTATTGTGATAAAATATTAAATTAACCATTTTAATTATTTAAAAATGTACAGTTCTGTGACATTATGTATATTCACATTGTTGTGCAATCATCATTAGCATCCATCTCCAGAATTTTTTCATTTCCCCCAACCGAACTCTGAACCCATTAAGCACTAATTTTTCATTTCCCCTCCTCTCAGCCCCTCGTAGCCAATATCCTACTGTCTGTCTCTATGAATTTGAGTACTCTAAGGTACCTTATATAAATGAAGTATTTGACCTTTTGCAACTGCCTTATTTCACTTAGCATTGTATCTTTAAGATTCGTTCATGTCATAGCATGTGTCAGAATTTCCTTCTTAAGGGTGGAATTGATGTTTAGACATTCATTGAACAGCCTTACAGTTTTTGTTATTTTCATTTTAAATTAGTTTTTCCTCCCAATGTAAAGTATTAATAGACTCTCTAAAATCCAGAAAAAGCTTTGCAATAATAAAGATTATCGTATTATTACCAACCTATTACATAGGCTTGGTATTAGATATCTCTTTATAATTCTGGATAAATTATTTGGTATTAGATATCCCTTTATAATTTTTTTTAACTAGTCAAATTTAGCAGTAGGGGATTGAATATCAACTTTAGTGACACTAATGTTAATACGTTCTGATAACCCACTACCATCGGACCAGCCTGCAATTCTGGAAGTTTTGAATGGTCTTTGGTAAAATAATAGATTAAAAATATGCTTTGAAATATTTAATGACAAAAAATTAAAACAGTTGGTTTTACCTTGTTCTAAACAGTATTCTCTTTAGAGTTTGAGCATATGTCTCCAATTTGGCCTCAGGTTTTTTTAAACAAATTTTTTCCTCTAGGGTTTGGGGTTATGATGATTATATTATTACTTAGTTACTTAATTTATTCCTTACCTTTTTTTTTTTGAGACAGTCTTGCTCTGTTGCCCCAGGTAGAGTGCAATGGCATCATTGTCGTTCACTGCAGCCTCAAACTCCTGGGTTCAAGCAGTCCTCCTGCCTCAGCCTCCCAAGCAGCTGGGACTACAATCTCATGCCACAATGCCTGGTTAATTTTTCTATGTTTGGTAAAGATAGGGTCTTGCTCTTGCTCAGGCTGGTCTTGAACTTCTGAGCTCAAGCAATCTTCTTGCCTTAGCCTCTTGGAGTGCTAGGATTACAGGCAAGAGCCACTGTGCCCCACCTGTGCCTTAACTTTTTTATTTATTTATTTATTTTTTGTGACAGAGTCTCACTGTGTTGCCTGGGCTAGAGTGCTGTGGTGTCAGCCTAGCTCACAGCAACCTCAAACCTCCTGGGCTCAAGCAATCCTTCTGCCTCAGTCTCCCGAGTAACTGGGACTACAGGCATGCACCACTATGCCCGGCTAATTTTTTCTATATATTTTTAATTGCCCAATTATTTTCTTTCTATTTTTAGTAGAGACAGGGTCTTTCTCTTGCTCAGGCTGGTTTCGGACTCCTGACCTTGAGAGATCCTCCCACCTCGGCCTCCCAGAGTGCTAGGATTACAGGCATTAGCCACTGCACCTGGCCTCTAACCTTTTTAAATTGAGAAATCCTATTGCTGAACTCCTAAACATCCATTTAGTTAAAAAAGACTTTTTTTGAGTAGGTTACTAAAACTTAATAATTTTTCAAGAAATCTAAAATATATTGTTATGTCTTGATTTTGCAGCAAACGATGTCTTTATTTCTCAGTACACAATGGGACAGAAAGATGCTGTAAGAACAGTTTTAAAACAAAAGTAAGTTTTATTTACAGAAAATAGTTGGACCATTTCTTATGTTTAAAATAATCTTCATTTATACTTTGGACATATGAAAAACTTTCTTTTCACCATGTGAAATATGTATTGTGTGATGATATGTATAAAGCTTTTCTCATGGTGCTAGGCACATATATAGTACTTAGTAGCTATTAGCAATTATTATTGTAGAAGTGCATTAATTCATTTAACACAATTGCCTATGAAATAAATTCCATTACCATCACAATTTACAGAATCCTCATTTTACAGATGAGGAAACCAAGGCATTGAGAGGTTGATTTTTCCCAAGGTCATTCAGTATGTTGTTACTAGGCTGGAATTCAAACCCAGGCAGTCTGCCTTTAAAGCCAGCTCTCTTAACCACTTCACTATATTTCTTATAGCAGTGGTCAAGTTGTTCCTTATACATAATACTTATTATTAACTATCAAAGGACATTTAGACTTTTCCTGGTCAAAATCTGATAAAGAGGTGAGTTTAGCATCATGATGGAGTGAAAGGGGACCATGGTTACTTCACCTAAATACGCCCTCCCAACTTTATATTAAATAGCAATAAAATACAAAACCAACTCTGACAATAGCACATAGTAAATGTGAAGCCAGAATACATCCACTAGTATGGAGGCAGTTTTTATCATCTCTATCATCAGTGGGGATAGATGGAGATCATATTCTTAGGCTAAATATATTCTACTTTTGAACCAGAGCAGTATGGAAGGCCCCTTAGAAAATAGGAAAAATTTTTCTTACTTTTGAGTTCTCATTTCATTCATAAAGAAAATTTTATATTATTTCTGTAAATGTAAAATCAGGATTTTGTAATATAATTAAAATAAATATATGTCTATTAAAATAAAATGTTTATTCTTTTGCTACCTACAGTTATCTATGGCATATATATTATGTTCTAAGAAGGACTGAAGAAAACAAAATAAATACATAAATACTACCCCTAAATCAAAAGGATGGATCTAAATGATTCTTTGGCTCCATCAGGTTTTTGCCTTTTTTTTAACATTTGTTTAGCCTACATTTCCCAATATGTCATATGGCCGTTAGGAGAGGCATTCGGATGAAAAATTGTATCCTGGGTTTGTACATATATAAGAAAAAGCAAAAGTGAGAGCATGAGGAGTGGTATAGTCTGTTGTATTCTCTATTTGAACTAGAAATTGCAGATTTACATCTGCTTCAGTTGGATGGAAAGTGATTACACTCCCAACCAGCTGGCTGGCTGACTGTGGTAGATGAAGGGGCTGCTTGCAACTGCAATGAGGACTTCATTAACTTGCCTTCCAGTCAGAATTCTCTGAACTGAAATCTCTTAGATCTCCCAGATCTGAGAGAGAGAAGTTGTTAATAAACAAGTAGATAGTGAGAGGTAATTGTGAACACTACCCTTTTTATTTATTGACAGATCTCTCCCCAATTAAGGATGAATGAACAGAATTTAAAAAAACAAACAACTATGAAAAGCCTCTGAGAAGGTAATTGCACTGTAGAGAATAGTAACTGAATCAAAACTATAAAAATGACTCTCATGTTGGGTTAAAAGACAGTCTAATTATGTCTTAAGAGATATTTTTAAATGAAATAGGCTGAAAATGAAAATACAACAAAAGTATTTTGAGGAGAAAGCAAATAAAAAACAGAAGTAGCAATATTCATAACAGTTGAAGTGGAAATCAAAGCATACAAGGTCTGTCCGGAAAGTATCCAGCCATTGTCAACATAATGAGAATGGTTTGCATGACACTGATATAACCTGGCAGCCAAAGAGAGTGGACTGGAATGCGCCTGCATGAAAAAAACGATGCCTTCATCGTACTGAAGGCAAGGGGGCACTAGATGTGGTTGCGTGAGCATGTGTACTGTGTGGCCATCGCATTCAAAATGACTAAGCAAGTAGAGTAATGAATCTGCATCAAATTTTGCGTTAAGCTTGAACATTCCTCTGCGGAAACTGTTCAAATGATTCAGAAGGCTTTTGGGGATGATGCAATGAATGCAGTGCAAGTAAAGTGTGACACAAATGCTTCAAAGATGGTTGAGAATGTGTTGAAAGTGATCTATGTTCTGGAAGGCCTGCAACAAGCAAAACACCTAAGAATGTTAAATGTGTACAGGTTAGGTTAAGAGACACTGGGAGAACTGTGTGAGGTCTCAAGGTGCCTACTTTGAAGGGAACTGAAGTGTCATTGTCCTTAGTATAATGTTTCTTGTGTTTTATTATCTTCTTCAATAAATGTTTCTATTTTTCATATTACATGGCTGAGTATTTTCCAGACAGACCTCGATGTGTTAAATAGACTAAACAGGACCATTATTTTGACAAGATATGTACATCTATTTTTTTTAGTTTTAAAAATCCTTAATGAAAGTAATAAAAGTACATGGTTTTAAAAAACCAAATAGTATGAAAATCTTGTACTGAAAAACTACCATCTTCTGCCCCACCATTTCCTTAACTACCAGGCAGGTTGCCCAAAGGCAGACACTTTTAATTCTTTTACCTCTTTCCTTTGAGAGGATATTTCATAAATTAAAGTAATGTGCTTATAGCACCTATTTTTCATTCATAAATTTAGACTGTACTTATCCTATTATGATAAGATTTAGCTCTCTTAAATTATTTTCTCTCCCATCTTCTCATAGCTATTCTAGTATTTTTAATAAATCGATCATGACTGTGTGGGTGTTGCTTATATAACAGTAATAAACTTAACATCTTTTTATTTTAAAAAAGTTTCAATATTTACAAATGTAGGGAGGATAATTTGGTGAACCCCATGTTCCTGTAGCTTAGTTTTAGTTGTTAGCATTTTGTTTCATTTGTAACTCCCTCCCTCCCCTGGAATTATTGTTAAGGAAATCCCAGAAGTCATTTCATTTTATCTTTAAATTTGTTTTTAGACAGGATCTCTCTCTGTTGACTGGGAGAGAGTGTAGTGGCATCATCATAGCCACAGCAACCTCAAACTCCTGGGCTCAAGTGATCCTCCTACTTTAGCCTCTGGAGTAGCTAGGACACAGGCACGTGCCACCATGCCTGGCTAATTATTTTTTGTAAAAACTGGGTCTTGCTATTTTCCTCAGGCTTAAATATTTTAATATGTGTATCTGAAAGATGATTTTTTAAAAATGGCATTACCATAATACTATTATACCAAAAGTATAATAATAATTGCTTAATATTATCAAATATTGAGTCAGTATTCAAATTTTCCTGATTGTTTCATAATTATTTTTTGTGGTTAATTTATTTGCATCGGGATCTAAGGAATAGCCATACATTGCATTTGAATGTGTCTCTTAAATCTGTTTCAATCTATAAATTTACCCTTCTTTCATTTTTCTTAAAATTTTTTTGTTTGTACTGAGGAGTTTCCCACATTCTGGATTTTTTTTTTTTAATTTTATTTATTTATTTAGTTTTGAGACAGAGTCTCACTTTTTTGCCCAGGCTAGAGTGAGTGCCGTGGCGTCAGCCTAGCTCACAGCAACCTCAAACTCCTGGGCTCAAGCAATCCTGCTGCCTCAGCCTCCCTAGTAGCTGGGACTACAGGCATGTACCACCATGCCTGGCTAATTTTTTTTCTATATATATTAGTTGGCCAATTAATTTCTTTCTATTTTTATAGTAGAGACAGGGTCTCGATCTTGCTCAGGCTGGTTTTGAACTCCTGACCTCAAGCGATCCGCCTGCCTCGGCCTCCCAGAGTGCTAGGATTACAGGCGTGAGCCACCGCGCCCAGCCCATATTCTGGATTTTGCTGAGTATTTCTTTTTATTATTCTTTAACCCGTTTCTCTCAACCCTGAATTTCATGAAGTGACAAGGATATTTGATAGATGCTGTTACGTACTTCCTATGTATCACATCAGGTGGCATAGATGTTTGATTTTATCTTTTTGTGAGATTAGGATTTATTTGTGAAAACACTTATCACCTTTTTGTACCAAGTTATACCGTATAAAAATGTGAAGACAAATAAACTGATTAAGAAATTTAGCAGGAAAACAATTTTTTTTTAAAAAGCTGAATGATGGGAAAAAAGCAAGGAAAGCAGAAGAAATGAACTATATAAGATAAAGCAGAAAACATAAACACAGTAGAATGTTTTCAGCTAGTTCTTAGAAGTGTGTCAATGTAATAAGCAAACCCTGGACAAATTCAAGTCAGAAAAATGGTGAGAGAATGCATAAGTTAGAAATAAGAAGAGATTCTTGAGTAACTTTGGCAACAACAAAAATAAAAAAGAAACAAAAAGATCATCATGTCCTTACAGCTGGGTATAGTATCTTATGCCTGTAATCCCAGCAGTTTGGGAGCCTGAAGCAGGAGGATGGCTTGAGGCCAGGAGTTTAAGACCAGCCTGGGCAACATAGTGAAACACCCATCTCTAAAAGAAAATTTAAAAATTAGCTGGCTGTGGTGGAGCATGTTTGTAGTCCCAGCTACTGGGGAGGCTGAAGCAGGAGTAAGTATCGCTTGAGCCCAGGAGTTTGAGGTTGCAGTGAGCTATGATGATGCTGCTGTACTCCAGACTGGGCCAAGAGAGCAAAACCCTATCTCAACAAGGAAGGAAAGGGAAGGAGGAGGGGAGGAGAAGGGAGGGGAGGGAGATGGAGGCGGTGTGGTGTTCATAAAGCCAAGGGGAATTAGGTTCCAAGTTTCATACGCTTCTCAGAGGTGAAGAAAGAAAGACTGGAAAATGTACATTGAATTGAGCAAGAAGAATTATTGGTGTTCTTGGTGAGATCAGTTACAGCTTAGTATTGGAATATTCAGTGGATTTAGGAATAAAGAAAAAATTCTTAATAAAAAAGACTAGAAGGAGATAATTGCTTCTTAATGGGCTATATGCATTTCCCAGTATTTATACTTAGGAGCTCTTTATGTTTGCTACATTGAGGATTTGCTAGTTTAATAATTGGGAAAAATAAAATTTAAAAGCCTATAAATAAGTAAGTTTAAGTCTAGCCTTATATTATTTCTCTCAGTTGTCAAGGGTAAGTCACTTTCAGACTTCAGACAGGAATACCAAAAGATAATGAATATCTGAATTATATTTTCTTAGTATGCCCCTCAATTGGTTAAATATATATAGAGTACCTACTGTGTACCTAACCCTTTGTTAGTTGCTGTTTGATGTAAAAGATGTCTTTCTCCCCCTGGGTTGCTTACAGCTTAGTTGGGGAGAGAATATGTGCATATATAGAAGAATGAGTGCCTAATTGCATTCAGTATATTATTAAGTTATTCTGTACACATATTTAAATCATGGGATGGCCAATTATCAAGCCTCAGTTGTATGGTATAGGCAGTAAATGAAAAAAGGAGTTAATGAAGAGAGAGATCAAGAAGTGTTACAAGGACAGACTTATTAAAAAGGTAACGCTTGTATTGAATCTTAAGGAAGGAGAAGGATGTATGTAGTAAGTTGAGTGGAAGAAGATTGAGAGAATGGAATGAGAAAAAGCAAGGAGTCAGCTGTGAGAGTGTCACGTTATGTGAGTCTTCTCGATTTGTGAAGTAATAGGAGGTTTATACAGGAAGGTAGGGCAGGACCAGAGTGTGGAGTAAGGCCAAACAGGGCGAATTAGCCTATTCAGTTGCTTATAAGGAACAATTTTGAATTTTTAAGTGGTGGAGACACATGTGTGGGAAGTTTTTACGCAAGAAAAACTGGAAGAATGAAATAGTTGGTAAGAGGTGATGAAGTTTTTTAGTAGAGAGGAAGAAAGAAGAAGGGAGAAGTGCTAATCTGAGAGAGAAAGTTCTGGTGTCATGGGAAGATCTCTGGGAGTTGGGCCCTAAATCTACTACTTACTAGTTCTGTGACACTGATCAAGCAAATCCCATTACCTCTCTGGATGTCAGTTTTTTCATCTGTAAAATAAGGAAATCAGGATAGATGACCTATAAGGTTCTTCCACCTCTGTAATTCTATGACACTCTTCTTGCAATTGTGATGAAATAATTGACAAGACTTGGTCTCTCAATTGGGTATGAGAAGGTAAGCAGGTAGAGAAGAAGGCAAGGCGACCTCAAAATTTTGAGACTGAGAGAAGATGCTCTTAGCAGAAATGGGGAAATATCAAAGAGAAGTAAGTTTAAGTGTTCTGTGCTACTTTTAAAAATCAAGGGGGGAAATCCAGCAGCTGAACAGGAGACATATTCCTGCCAATTTTACTTAGACTTTCCTAGGGACTCTTTAGTTTTTTCAGTGGTTCCTTTCATTGTTTCCTTTAGGCCAAATAGGACAAAATCAACCAGACTTTTCCCCCCCTAATATTTAATTAAATGTCTTACTGCAAATATCCATCTATTTTCTGGGCTCATTTTTAATCCAGTCTGCTTTGTAGTGTGTTTTGTGCCCATTTTGATAAAGTGGGTGACATTTATTATATAAATCTGAGTGAGCTAGAATTCATAAAATTACTTGGAGCAGTTTTAACCATCCCTCTTGGGGATATTATGCTAAGTGAAATAAGCCAGGGATGGAAAGAAAAATACCATATAATCTCATTTATATGTGGAATCCAAAAAGGTTAACTCATAGAACTCCCATAGAAGGGAGTAGAATGGTGGTTGCCAGGGGCTGGGAGTGGGGAAGAATGGGGAGATATAGGTCAAAGGGTACAATTTTAGTTAGACAGGATGCATAAATTCTGGAGATCTATTATACAACATGCTGACTATGGTTAATAATAATGAATTATATACTTGAAAATTACTAAAAGAGTAAATCTTAAATGTTCTTACTACACACACATAAAAATAACTATACGCATTGAGGGATATATTAATTATCTTGATTGTGGTATTCATTTTACAATGTATACATATATCAAAACATCACATGTACACTGTAAAAATATATAATTTTTTTCAATTATACCTCAATAAAGCCAAAGAAAAAATAGTAGTCACAAAGTATAAATCAGTAATGTTATAATTCTTATAAAAAGTATTTAGAGAATAAAATTATCAGTGATTTTAAAAACAACAAACCATCTTGGGATGTCTGCTTTGGGGAGAACACTTGGTACTTGAATTATTAGAGCTTTTTCCTGCATGTTTTATTTATTTATTTTTCTTTTTAAAATTTTTTTATTTTTAATTATTATGGGCACATAATAGTTATATATCTTTTTTTTTAAGTGCATTATGAGGGTACAAATATTAAGGTTAGGTATATTGCCCATCCCCCCCTCCCTAGTTATATATCTCTATGGGGCACATGTGATATTTTGATACAGGCATACAATATGAATTAATCAAATCAGGGTAATTGTGGTATCCATCACCTCAGGCATTTAACATTTCTTTGTGTATTCTGCGTGTTTTAAATTTGTACTTCTTAATTATGTATCTTTGTAATTGTGCCATGCCATTTTCGTATGTGTAAGTCTTATTTTTTTAAATTAATATCACTGCCTTCAGGAAATTATCTTATTTTTTTAGTCCTTAGTGACCTGAACCTTAACAAATTTTGTTCACCAAATGACTTTGTGTTTGATAGGTGATTTAATTAAAAAAATCAAAACTACCTTTATCAGATTACCACTTGTAGATATTTCTTGAAATGGTTCAATGTAGCTTACTTAATATATTTTTATTGCTTTTTTATTTATAGAGCTCAAAGCATGCCTGTTGTTAAGGAAGTAAAAGTACATCTTTTAGAAGATGCAGGCACAGAAAAAGATGCTGCTGCTCAGGAAACTAGAACTTCACCCAGTGGAATTGATTCAGCTACAACTGTTGCTGCAGCAACTGCGGCTGCCATTGCAACAGCAGCTCCACTGATAAAAGTATATCTTTCTCCCCAGATATTCATAACTACTTTGTGAAATATAGAAATATTTATTAAGAACTGATTCTATAAATGGTTGTATCCAACTAAAGTAGGAACATTCTAGTTCTTCTCAATTTGAAAGAATTTTCCTATTTGTGGTTGTGTATTACTTCTCAGGTATCATGAAAATTACTCCTTAATCACTGTGATGGCTCTAGTGAATCCAGAACTTTCCCAGTTTTAGCACAGAAAGTCCTGCATCCTGGGAAATACCTTGAGTCCTGAGCAACCTGGATGATCATTCATTTTTACTTGAGAGCTGGAAGGAACATTAGAGATCATCTGTGCCTGGGCTGTCACTTTGTAAACAGAGGAACAGGTCAGAGTAGGCACAAGATTCTAGAATTAATAAGTAGCAGAGCCCTGACTCAAGGCTGCTGACTTAACCTAGCCTTATGTTAGTTGAGTATTAAAAGCTACTTTGTTTTACTATTTCTTTTAAATTTCAATTAAAGTATCTTATTTCTGGCATTATAAAATTCTATGTGGCAATTTATTATAATTTTTTTTTTTTTTTTAGACAGAGTCTCACTTTGTTGCCCAGGCTAGAGTGAGTGCCGTGGTGTCAGCCTGGCTCACAGCAACCTCAATCTCCGGGACTCAGTGATCCTACTGCCTCAGCCTCCCGAGTAGCTGGGACTGCAGGCATGCGCCACCATGCCCGGCTAATTTTTTTTTTTTTGTATATATATATATATATTTTTTTTTTTTTTTGAGACAGAGTCTCGCTTTGTTGCCTAGGCTAGAGTGAGTGCCGTGGCGTCAGCCTAGCTCACAGCAACCTCAAAATCCTGGGCTCAAGCGATCCTCCTGCCTCAGCCTCCCGAGTAGCTGGGACTACAGGCATGCGCCACCATGCCCGGCTAATTTTTTCTATGTCTATATTAGTTGGCCAATTAATTTCTTTCTATATTTAGTAGAGACAGGGTCTTGCTCAGGCTGGTTTCGAACTCCTGACCTGGAGCAATCCATCCGCCTCAGCCTCCCAGAGTGCTAGGATTATAGGCGTGAGCCACCTTGCCCAGCCAGTTTTAATTTCTTAAATCATGATTTGTTTGTTCTTCTTTTTCCCCTCTAAGTGGAGAACTCTGCCATGTTATAGCTCAAATATTACTGCTTCTGTGAGATCTCTCTCTCTAGTTAGTTTTTCTTCCGTTTGCAGTATTTTTGTTCATACCATTTTTAAAGCCCTTTTTTTTTTTGGAGACAGAGTACTTACTCTGTTGCCCAGGCTAGAGTGCCATGGCATCAGCCTCGCTCACAGCAACCTTAAACTCCTGGGCTCAAGCAGTCCTCCTGCTTTAGCCTCCCGAGTAGCTGGGACTACAGGCACGTACCACCATGCCTGGCTAATTTTTTCTATTTTTAGTAGAGGCAGGGTCTCCCTCTTGCTCAGGCTAGTCTGGAACCCCTGACCTCAAGTTTACAATAGTTAAGGCAAAATATTAAGGGGTTACACAGCAGAGTTGGGCTTAACCCAGGTCTTTGTGATACTACATCCTTCCAATGGCATCTCTCCTACTACTACAGTGGACAGTTGCAATATAATGTATATATTTTCATTGTTTACTAAATGTAATAAATTTTTTTCAAGACTTCTAATAAATGTCAATGTGTTTTATCATCTATTTCAAATGATATTTGAAAATAATAAAATAATTTTATGTCTTCTAGACTCATTTTATTAGTGCTGCACTCAAGACCAGTAGTTTTCAGCCTGTTAGTGTGCCCCCTTCCAGAGCAGTGGAAAAATATTCTGTAAAACCTGAACATCCTAATTTTGGTAGCAGTAATCTGTCGTCACCTAATACATTTGCTTCCAAACAAGGTAAAAATATGTGGTTCTCTATGAAAAAAAATGTCAACTATGAATTTTATTTGGGCTATATAAAATGAAAACTTATTTACTAAGTGGTAGGAGTCCTTGCTTTACAGAATTTATTTATAGGAGTCTTTGTTTTATAAAATTAATTTTTGTAGGTCAAGTAATTTTTAGGTTATTTTGAAATTTGCTCAAATCATGGATCTTGTCCCAATTCATGGTTTTAATTAATAACCTTCATAAATTGTCAGAAACACAATTTTAGAACATTTTATTTATCTAGTATCAAAAATGTTTGTAGTAAATCAACTCTCCAGTTGTCTGACAAACTGCATATTTATTAGTTTTCTTGATTCTGTCAGGAGGGAAACCACCTGGGTATAATTATAAACTATTTCTAAATCTTTTTAGAGCTAGTAATGTAAGTCTATTTATCGTAATAGAATTTTAAAACACTTCATTTATAATAACAAAGGAATATATTGATATTTGAATAATGAACTAAAGAAAATCAAGGGACTGTCCCTTTAATAATATAGAAATCTATATAGTACAATATTTTCGACATTTGATTTGTTAGAACATTGTGGTTTTTTTACTTTCTCAGTTATCTTTCTTTACTTTAAATTTTTATTAAGACATCTTTATTCCTTTGGAATCAGAAAAAAAGTTAAACTGTTTGAAAGAGGCATGGAATGAGAGAGATGGCCCCTCAGAAGCTGCCTTTCACCATGGCAATGGCATCTCCCGGGGTGACCTCACACCTGGAGATCCCTCCCTGGGTCCTGCAGAATCTCTTTCACTTTTCTCCTGAGGAAGGAGAAAATTGCAGAGCTGCACTGGCAGGCTCCAGCTGGCCTCTTTCTTCTGGAAACCTAAGCCTAATATCAAGTGTCCTGGAATGTCAGTCTTGTTTTTTTCCGTCCTGTAGGTTCTGCCATTACGTATCTTTTCAAAGTGTCCTGTGTCCCTAAACTGGGAATTTTTCTTATATCTCTAGATAGCTCAGTCAGCCAGTGATGGCATTTTGCATTATATTCTGCCATTAGAAATGGGAGGCTAAAAGATGAGATAGTGACTTAGTCCATTTTCTGTTGCTGTAACCAAGTACCTGAGACTAGGTAATTCATAAAGAAAAGATATTTGTTTCTTACAGTCTGAAGGCTGGGAAGCCCAAGACTGAGGGGCTGCATCTGATGAGGGCCTTCTTGCTGGTGGGGACTCTATGCAGAGTCCTAAAGCAGCAGGGTAGCACTTGAGGGGGCTCACAAGAGATGGCCAAATTGGCTTTTATGTGATTTGTTAGAACATTGTATAACAGTCATCAAAGATTCCTTATGCTTATAAGGTTCTTTATGTTTTACAACAAACACATGGTTCCTACAAAACTGTTATGCAGTAATGAGTCAATTTTAAGTTCTGAAGAGAGGACAGTGAAGCACAGAAAGGTTATGACTTGCCTGTTCAAGATTACCTGGCTTGAGAGGGAGGGTGTCAGAACTAGGACCAGAACTCAGGCTTCAATATGACCCAGCCATGTGCCTTCTATAGAAGTGGACACTTTTTCCATATTCACTTCTAGAGAATTACTCGCTCATAATTCTGTTGTTTTTTTAGACTTGAGTTTTAAAAAAAGTTGTGTGTTTTATTGATCAGACACTGAATTTATTTCCTTATATATATATCAGTTACAGTAATATAAATAAAAGAAAAATGAATAAATTAAAAATTCAGTAAATTAAACTTTATTTTTCTATGTTTTTTTCTTGGGCATATATTATTTTTATGTAATTTTAAGTATAGCATAAATACAATTTTGTACTGCTTTTCTACTGGCCTATTTTCCATGTATATAGCTCTCTTTATAATTTTAATTTGTAATGACTAAAGGATAGTCTATTGGATAACTGTTTTACAATTTACTTGGACATTATTCTGTTGTTGGACACTTAGGTAGCTTTTAGGGTTTTTTTTCCTTTACAAATAATACTGTAATGAATATCATCATATATTTAATGTTTTCTTCCATTTATTTTATTTCCTTGGGATAAATTCCCAAGAGTAAAATTACTAGGTCAAAGAATATAAAAATTTTAATGCTTCCTATACTTGTTGCCACATGGTTTGTCAGTTTTCATTGCGATGAGAAGTACCTGGCTGTGCAATTTTCACCATAGCTTCAATAGTACTGAATATCATATTGATTCTTATTTACTAGCTGTAAGTGTAAAATGTTTATAGTCTTCATTTCTTTTGATTTTGAGTGAGGATGAAGTTATTTATATACCCTCATTAATAATTTGTATATCCTTTATAGCTTTGGTTTTATTTTTAAAGTATGTGAAAGAGTAATACCCTACAATTTAAAATTTTTTAAAAAGTAAATTAATTATTTTTAAAATTTTCTATTAAAGCACCTTTAAGAGAAGTTGAAGATACGGGTTTTGATAAACAAAAATCTCCTTTGGAGACACCAGCACCTCGAAGATTTGCTCCCGTACCTGTTTCAAGGGATAGTGAACTATCAAAGAGGGAAAATCCTATGGAAGAAAAAGAAAATATGGAACTGTCAGGTCATAGAGGTAATAAAGCAATTATAATTAGTACCTGCCTTTTACTAGACCTATCTCAAATTAGGAAATTGTCATGAGGTTTTCTCATTCATGGTTTATAATTCTCTGTGTGCCTAGTAGTAACTAAAGTGGGATCTCTGTTTTAAATATTTTTCGTTAAATGATACCTACTGGACAAAGCAAGCTTTTTTGGATTCTTTGTAAAAGGAGTTGGAGGTATACATTTACAATTACAGTACATATACAATTATAGTACATTTACAATTATTCTGATTATCTTGCATTGGTTATTACTTTTAATGAACAAGTTTGATTATTAATGAAAATAATAATCACTTATTAATAATAAGTTTGTTATTAATAAATTACCAACAATTAATTTTATTAATATCATTAATAAATAATCATTTTATTAATTAATAATAATCCCACAAAATTATATAGTCTCACTAAAAACAAGGCTAAAAGAAAGATCCAATTATTGCTGTGAAGAAAGGTAAATCACTATAAATTTATAAAAATAGTCCATTTTACTGGGCTTGTGATGATGATGCTTCTCATTCAAATTCCTTTCTTCTGCGATGAAAATAAATTTAGGCTTTTACTTGTATAATTTAAATTTTAACAGTACAGTTTTTATGAGGTATAAATATTTAGTTTTATTTGCTGAGTGTATTTATAGCCTACATTGCAGAGTGAATTGAGTAGATAATCATCCTAAGAAGCTAATTTAGGCCAGATTACAAATATGTGTGAAATTTTCTTTAAAACATAAATGGATTAGTATTTGAAAAATGATACCGTATTTCTTCTGTTGTAGGAAATGTAAAATTATTGGAACAAATTTTGAATAACAATGATTCTTTGACAAGAAGAAGTGAATTTTCTGATAACACCTCACTAACCGGGCCAAAAATAGGATGGAATCCTGAGAAAAGAGACAGGTAAAAACAAGAAATTGGAATGAAAGCTTGATTGAAAAGAGCTTTGTTCACAGTTTTCAAATTTCTTTATGAATTTTAATAAATTATAGCATTGCTTTTTAAAATTATCTTAGATTTAATTTCTATTTTCTGATATGAATGTATCTCTTCCTTTTTCTATAATATAGTTATGAAATGAATATCTCATTTTTTAGAAATATAGATTATCAATTTCTAATAAGTGAAGATATTCATGTCTGATGAAATGATATCTGGGATTTGCTTCAAAAATAATCCAGTGCATCTGGATCATAATGATCCAGTGACACTCTACAAAAAAGACACCTGCACTCGAATGTTTATAGCAGCACAATTCATAATTGCAAGGCTGTGGAAACAGCCCAAGTGCCCATCAATCCAAGAATGGATTAATAAAATGTGGTATATGTATACCATGGAGTACTATTCAGCTCTAAGAAACAACGGTGATATAGCACATCTTATATTTTCCTGGTTAGAGCTGGAACCCATACTACTAAGTGAAGTATCCCAAGAATGGAAAAACAAGCACCAGATATATTCTCCAGCAAACTGGTATTAACTGAGTAGCACCTAAGTGGACACACAGGTGCTACAGTAATAGGGTATTGGGGAGGTGGGAGGGGGGAGGGGGGCGGGTATATACATACATAATGAGTGAGATGTGCACCATCTGGGGGATGGTCATGATGGAGACTCAGACTTTTGGGGGGAGGGGGGGAAATGGGCATTTATTGAAACATTAAAATCTGTACCCCCATAATATGCCAAAATAAAAAAAAAAAAAAATAATAATCCAGTGCAGGGTAGAGGGGAAGTAGGTAGGGAGTATAGATAAAATGAAGATAGCCATGACTTAATGAATGTTTTAGTTAAATAATGGTTATAGAGAGGTTAATTATAGTATTCTCTCTACTTTTGTATATATGTGAAAGTTTGCATAGTAAGTTTTTTAAAAATCAAATAAGTCTGGGCTATGATAATTATATTTATCTTCAATATCCTGAAAACTACAGTAATAAAACCTAAAAGAGCCACATTTTGAGGAATTTTATGTACATTAAACATAACATTATACAAACATTATATAACTTTAATTTATTTACATTTAATATAATTACTGATAAGGTAGGATTTATGTCTGCCATGTTATATTTTCTATATGTCTTATGTCTTTTTATTTCACTATTTTTCCATTAGTGCCTTTTTTTGTATTAGATACTTTCTAGTTGTATCATTTTAATTCTTTCATTGTTTCCTTTTCTTTTTTTTTTTGAGACAAGAGTCTCACTTTGTTGCCTGGGCGGCATAGCTCACAGCAACCTCAAGCTCCTGGGCTCAAGCAATCCTCCTGCCTCAGCCTCCTGAGTAGCTGGGACTACAGGCATGTGCCACCATGCCCAGCTAATTTTTTTTAACATATATATCTGTTGGCCAATTAATTTCTTTGTATTTTTTAGTAAAGACAGGGTCTTGTTCTTGCTCAGACTGGTTTCAAGCTTCTGACCTTGAGCGATCTTTCTTCTTTGGCCTCCCAGAGTGCTAGGATTACAGGCGTGAGCCACCGCGCCTGGCCTTCATTGTTTCCTTTACTGTATTTTTTGAGTTATTTTCTTACTGATTGCCCTAGTGATTACAATTAACATATTAATTTAAAACAAGCTAATTCAGATTAATACTGATTTAATTTCAACAGTATTCTAAAACTTTGTTCAGTAAAGCTCCATTCCCTCCCCCTTTCTGCTATTATTGTCATATAAATTAAATCTTTATACATCATAAGCCCATCTGTATAGCTTGATAATTATTATTTCTGCAGCTGTCTTTTAAATCAGATAGGAGAAAAAAAGAGATACAAACAAAAATACATCTATCCTCTTATATTTACCTTTATAGTTTATTTTCATCAGTAATCTTTATTTCTTTATGATGGATTCAATTTAAAGTCTAGGGTCCTTTTTTCTACCCTGAAGGATTCCCTTTAGTGTTTCTTGTAGGATAGGTCTGGTAGCAATGAATTCTCTCAGTTTTTGTTTGTTTGGAAATGTCTTAATTTCTCCACTTTTTTGTTTGTTTAAGCAGAAATTAATTTTCTCATAGTTGTGGAAGCTGAAAGTCCAAGATCAAGGTGCTGGCAGGGTTAGTTTCTTTTGAGGATCTCTTCTTGGCTTGGGGATGGTCTCCCTCTTGCTGTCTCTTCATATGATCCTCCTTTTCTGAATGCACACCTCTGGGGTCCTCTTCTTTACTTTTGAAGGTACTTTTGCTAAATGTAGAAGTTTTGGTTGACATTCTTTTTCTTTCAGCACTTCGAATGTGTCATCTCACTGCCTTCTGGACTCTGGTTTCTGATGAAAGGTTTGATATTAATGTACTTGATACTGTCTCACAGGTTTCTAAGGCTCTATTAATTTTTATTTATTCTTTTTTCTAGACTAAATAATCATAATTAACCCATCTTCAAGTTCAACAATTCTTTCTTCTGCCAACTCAAATATGGTGTTGAGCTACTCTAATGAATTATACATTTCAATTATTATATTTTTCAGCTCAAGAATTTCTATTTGTGTGTGTGTTTTAAAATAAGTTTTATCTCTCAGTACCACTCTTAGAATTTGTCTAGCCCATTTTCTCATTTTCAACAGAACCCCCCTCCCCATGCTATATAATAAAAAAAGAATGATTTCTTTATTGATCCTTCTGTATTCAGCAAGACTTTATTCTTATACTTTCCTTTAATTTTTTGAACTAGTTTCCTTTAGTAATAGCTGATTTATGGACTTTGCTTAGCAAGTCTGTTTTTTGGCATTCAGAGCTTTTTTTGACTGTGCTTTTTCTTGTTTGGGCTGTACTTTCCTTTCTTTGTGTGTCTTATAATTTTTTGTTGAAAATTGGACATTTAAAATAATACAATGTGATGACCAGGCATGGTCACCACCCAGTGGTTCATGCCTGTAATGCCAACACTTTGGGAGGCTGAGGTGGGAGGATAGCTTGAGACTAAGAGTTTGAGACCAACCTGGACAACACAGCAAGACCCTGTCTTTACAAAAAAATTTTTTTTTTTTTTTGAGACAGAGTCTCGCTTTGTTGCCCAGGCTAGAGTGAGTGCCATGGCGTCAGCCTGCTCACAGCAACCTCAAACTCCTGGGCTCGAGTGATCCTTCTGCCTCAGCCTCCCGGGTAGCTGGGACTACAGGCATGCGCCACCATGCCCGGCTAATTTTTTTTTTTATATATATATCAGTTGGCCAATTAATTTCTTTCTATTTATAGTAGAGACGGGGTCTCGCTCTTGCTCAGGCTGGTTTCGAACTCCTGACCTTGAGCAATCCGCCCGCCTCGGCCTCCCAAGAGCTAGGATTACAGGCGTGAGCCACAGCGCCCGGCCTACAAAAAATTTTTTAAAAAATTAGCTGGTCATGATGGCACACACCTGTAGTCCCAGCTACTTGGGAAGTTGAGGCAAGAGGATTGCTTCATCCTGGGAGTTCAAGGTTGCAATGAGCTATGATTGCTCCACTGCACTTAAGCCTGGGCAACAAAACAAGATCTTGTCTCTGAAAAAAATATTTAAAAAAACAAATAATACAATTCGACAACTCTGTAAATGTCCCAGAGTTTATCGTTATTGCTGGTTGTTGTTCTCGTTGTTGCTGTTTGTTAGTGACTTTTCTGGATTAATTCTGTAAAGTCTATATTCTTTGTCATGTGTACCCATGGAAGTCTCTTATTTTGTTAGCTTAGTGTGCTAATGATTGGAGAGAGATTTCCTTAACTACCTTAACTAAATGATAAGTCTCCTTCTTTTTGCCGAGGGGCTGTGTGTGTGTGTGTGTGTGTGTGTGTGTGTGTGTGTGTGTACGTGTATGTGTTAGGGCATGCCTCCAGTGCTCTGACAGTTTATAAATCTGTCTTAGCCTGCACTTCCTACTTGCACAGAGCCAGATGTGAGAAATTAGGACTTTCTCAATTCATTCCTGGGTGTTCACACTGCCCTGTATATGCATATGACCTTCCAGATTTCCCAGGAATAAGTTGGAATATCTCATTCCCTAGATTTAAAAAATTTATTGGCTTGGCCGGGCGCTGTGGCTCACGCCTGTAATCCTAGCTCTTGGGAGGCCGAGGCGGGCGGATTGCTCAAGGTCAGGAGTTCGAAACCAGCCTGAGCAAGAGCGAGACCCCGTCTCTACTATAAATAGAAAGAAATTAATGGCCAACTGATATATATATAAAAAATTAGCCGGCATGGTGGCGCATGCCTGTAGTCCCAGCTACCCGGGAGGCTGAGGTAGAAGGATCACTCGAGCCCAGGAGTTTGAGGTTGCTGTGAGCTAGGCTGACGCCACGGCACTCACTCTAGCCTGGACAACAAAGCGAGACTCTGTCTCACAAAAAAAAAAAAAATTTATTGGCTACAGCCTTGTTTGCCTCAACTGGTATCACCACCTTGGGAAGCTGAGATGTTAAACAATTGCCACTGTTTTTGAAAAATGCCCTGGAGATGGTGTTTCTCACAGAGCTAGCTCTGAGTCAGGTCAAATAAAGACAAACTTTATGAATGAGACTTTTGTCCCATTTTGCTCCAAACCCTCTTGTTAGTGGTTATGAGGCTCTTGGTTTTCAGTGCTACCACAGAGTTAGGAAAGGGTCCTGAAAGTGGAGCAAGTTAAAAAAAATTCCATCAAGCTTGCTGTTCTTACTCAGAGCCAGCCATTTTTCTTTAATAAGTGTTCTTTGAATTGTTGCAATCCTTTCTTTAATTTCCAGAGTTCTAAAACATTTGATTTTGATGAATTTTGCTAGTGTTCTCATATTCTTATGGAGGAGCACTCTTACTCCACCAATCTGGAAGTGCTTCTGAATGTTAGTTACTTGAAAGGAAAACCTTTTTTTGCTCTTTGCCTGCTATGCCTAAACTTTTAGATTTTGTCTCTTGTGGTACTCTGTGTTTCATATATTTAATCACATAACTGATAAATTCCATGGTACAATTTTAATAGGATACCATTTAATAATGTATAACTAAGATTACATCAAAAATTTGTGTAATCAAATGTTTATTGAATTTACAGCAATTTAGGAAACTTCTTTTCTAATCTTCTATAGCACTGAAACTCTACCTTTTCAAAGATTTTCTTCCCATGAAGAGCTAGGAACAGTTAAAATGACTATGCAGAAGTCCAATGATGTTCTTCATGATCTTGGCCAAAAGAAGAAAGAAGCAAATGGCATGGTTCAGGTAAAGTGGGAATGATCTTAAAATTGATGATCAGTAAGGGTAAAAATTATGAATGAATAAAAAAGTTATAAAAATAGAAATTAGGAGAAAGAATGAAGATAAAGCACTGAAAAAGACATGTCAGCCAAGAGATGGTGACCATGTTGGCAGTGAGTTTCTCTGTTTCTAGATTAAAGGACTGTTTCGCAATCCGCAGTGCTTCTATACCTGGGATTGGGGGGGGAGGGTGTACAGACCTTGAAATCCCTGCACCACTGCTTCCAACCAGAGTAAATTCAGACTTCCCAGTGAGAGTCGGGTGTCGCTTCCCTTTGTGTTAAAATCAATCTGAGGCCGGTCCCGTTCCCAATCTTTCTGCCATAGGACCATGAAGACACCGCCTTTTGCACTGTGCCCCTGTTTAGAGCCCTTCTGGGACCCCAAAACTCCCTCCTGGCCATGTAAAGTCCTCACCCATGAGGTGGATTCTGGTCCCCCAAGCTTTGCCCTTATGGGCCTCTGGCGGGCAGCGCCACAGCCCCAAGAGAAGCCTCGTCTTCTCCCTGGTCCTGGGATTCTACAGACCCTACTTCTCTCCTAATCCTCCCTGCTCCCTTTCCTCCTTGGGCCAGGCTAATCTGCTCCTCAGGCCTCTTCGCAGTCACCACTTCCTCCTATTCTGTGTTTGGGGAGGTGATGGGGATGTGTTTTGACACTGAATGTTCTTTCATCCCAAATTCCTGCCCACTATAGTATGTGCTCTTCAGGAATTGGGCATGTTGTTTCTATTTCTTCCATGTGAATGTGTGGAGAAAGAGATGGAGAACAAGAGAGGAAATAGAAAAATTTAGAAAGAGAAAGGAAGAATGAGGGAGACACAAGAACACTGCAAAGTAGAGAATGTGGGAGACAGGAAGGGAGACAGGGAGAGTGAAAGCAGAAGCTGAGAAAATAGCAGGGGAGAAAAGTGCCTGAAGCACTTTAGAGAAAAACTTGATGTCCTGAGGGATGAAAGGACAGCAAAGAAGGGAGAGGGACAGCAAAGGGGGAGATACCTCAGAGAATAGGGCGAGAGGATGGATAATTTGGAGCCAGGGCAGACAGACAGAGCAGCCAAGTGCTGGGACAGCAAGAGGGACTACCTGATAAGTAGAGCAGAGATGGTACCACAGCTGGGGGTGCCAGTAAGTGGGGACAAGAGGATACAACAGGGAAGAGGGAATTTAACAGGGAGACCAGAGAAGGAGCAGAGACAGGGAAGAAAGGACCAGAAGTATATGAGATTGAGACAATCAAAAGATTGAAGAGAAAGATCTAAAAGAGATAAAACAAGTTTCCAGAATGGAGCAGAACAGGTAGAAGAGAAGCAATAGAGGGATGAAGGGGAGAAAGATCAGGGGAAAAAAAGATAAACAAACAAACAAAAAAAGACATGTCAGTCAAGTCTGTTCCCTTTACAAAACTTTTCTAGAAGCCCTCACCAAATGTTTCTGCTTATCACTCGTTGGCCAGAACTGAGCCTTATGGCTATCTCTGGCTTTCCAACTTCTGTTGGAAAGTAAGGAATGGGGAAAGAGACCTGTGAATGGCCCTTTTTATCCAATCCACAATGTCTGCCATACATACCTAGAATACCCAGAACCATTGTGCTCTTACTATGTTTTAGCTTTCTTCAGCAGATAGAGCTTTTATTGGCCATTGGCCTGTCTAGCATTGCTATGGGTTTCCCATCTCTATTTTATTTAACACTCATATTAATACTTCTTTTTTTAATTTTCTGATAATTTTTAAAAATTATTTATTTATTTTTTATTTCAGAGTAATACAGGGGTACAAATGCTTTGGTTACATAAATTGCCTTTGCACCACCCAACAAGTGTGCCCATCCCCCAGACAGTACACATTGCATCCGTTAGGTATAGATTTACCCATCTTCTCCTCCCTCCTTCCCCCTTCTACCTGCCTGACACTCTATGAATGTTACTTCCCATGTTGACACATTAGTGTTGATCAGTTAGTACCAATTCAATGGTGAGTACATTGGTGCTCGTTTTTCCATTCTTGTTATACTTCACTTAGAAGAATGGGTTCCAGCTCCATTCAGGATGATATAATAGTTCATCATTTTTTATGGCTGAGTAGTACTCCATGGTAACATATACCACATTTTGTTAATCACTCATGTATTGATGGGCATTTGGGTTGTTTCCACATCTTTGCAATTGTGAATTATGCGGCTATAAACATTCGAGTGCAGATGTCTTTTTTCTAGAATGTCTTTTTTTCTTTTGGGTAGATAACCAGTAGTGGGATTGCTGAATCAAATAGTAGTTCTACTTTTAGTTCTTTGAGGTATCTTCATACTACTTTCCATAGAGGTTGAACTTCTATTTTTTTTTTTTTTTTTTGAGACAGAGTCTCACTCTGTTGCCCAGGCTAGAGTGAGTGCCGTGGTGTCAGCCTAGCTCACAGCCTAGCTCACCTCAAACTCCTGGGCTCAAGCAATCCTCCTGCCTCAGCCTCCTGAGTAGCTGGGACTACAGGCATGTGTCACCATGCCCATCTAATTTTTTCTATATATATATATATTAGTTGGCCAATTAATTTCTTTCTATTTATAGTAGAGACGGGGGTCTCGCTCTTGCTCAGGCTGGTTTCGGACTCCTGACCTTGAGCAATCTGCCTGCCTCAGCCTCCCAGAGTGCTAGGATTACAGACATGAGCCACCGTGCCGGGCTCAGAGGTTGTACTTCTAAATGGAAAAAAACCCTTAATTGCCAAGTATTCTTTTGTAACTCTTCAGTTTGGCAATTTGAGTCCTTAGAATTGTTGGCATAGTGTATGGCCCCAACAATAGTAATAGCTCTTGTTTGGATTAAAATAATCAAAGTGAGTTTTACATAGTAATTTTTTTGCCTTTTTTTTTTAAGCCAAAAGAATATCTGATTATGTTAAACCTTGCTTAATTTCCTCAGAATGATAAACTTCAGACAACCCATACAACAAGATCTGTGTTGAAAGATGCTGAGAAGATTTTGAGAAAAGTACAAAACAATAAAAAAGTACTTGAGGAAAACCTGGAAGCTATTATTCGTGCAAAGGATGGAGTTGCAATGTACTCGTTTATCAATGCTTTATCTACCAACAGGTAAGACAGGGTTATTTATGAAACTGCCAGTTCTACTTAATTTTTTCACTAAGCACTGTACACTTTCGCTGTACACTTTGTTTAATGTGTTTTAAAATTTAGAAAAACTTCTTTATTGCCTTTGAAGATGTGGAACTTATTATAAAGTTAGAATTTGGATATATACATGGTGGTACTACTTTTTACTGCTGGAAATTTTCCTTTTAATTTTTTCATTTTTTGGTATCCATTTTCTGGGGTCTACATGTGCTTTTCAAACATTTATCCTTCAAATATTTGATGAAAACTAATACCATTGGTTTTTCCTTTTCAGATGAAGGATATTGGGCTAAACAGTAGATTAAAAACTAGAGAAGAATTAGATCTGATCCAGGTCTTGTTCTCAGGACATTAGTGCTAATTTAAGACAATTCATTTTTCTCTTTTGTAGAGAGATGTCAGAGAAGATTAGAATCAGAAAGACAGTAGATGAGTGGATTAAAACCATTTCTGCAGAAATTCAGGTATGTCTTGGGAAAAACTGAAAATTAAGTGAATTCTCAGAAGATAATGTTGATTCCTATTTATAAATATCACACTTTTCTCAAAATACTTCTTTTATAAAAGTCTACTTATAATTCTTAATTTTACTGTCACTATATTAATAAGTTTAGTTTTATTTAATAAGTACTTTATTTTATAAATTATATCATAAATTTATTTCATAAATTTGGCAAATTCTTGGACAATAACTAAAATACAAATAATTTGAAAGAAAATTTAACAAAAGCATTTAGAAAAGAAAATAATTAAACTTGCAAGGATGTTTCAAGACCACAGATTTAGAAACATTGGGTCGCCAAAGTAAAACTAGCAAAGTTATTTAAAGGGAAAAACCCCCACTAGATTTCCAAGGTTACTAAGTTTGCAGAAGTCAGTTCCAGATGGAAAAACAGCCTCTTTTTCACATCCACAAAAGTCGTGGTACATGTTCAGACATCAGCATTGCAAAAGTCTGGGAGTTGTTTTTATTAGGGGGTCACTAATTTTAAGGAAATTCTTTTTTTTTTTTTTTTTTGAGACAGAGTCTCCTTTGTTGCCTAGGCTACAGGGAGTGCCATGGCATCAGCCTAGCTCACAGCAACCTCAAACTCCTGGGCTCAAGCAATCCTGCTGCCTCAGCCTCCTGAGTAGCTGGGACCACAGGCATGTGTCACCATGCCCAGCTAATTTTTTCTATATATATATTAGTTGACCAATTAATTTCTTTCTATTTTATAGTAGAGATGGGGGTGTCGCTCTTGCTCAGGCTGGTTTCGAACTCCTGAGCAATCCGCCTGCCTCGGCCTCCCAGAGTACTAGGATTATAGGTGAGAGCCACCGTGCCCAGCCAGGAAATTCTTAACATTTTATGTATTTGAGGAAGCAGAACTCAATGGGGTATCCTATTATTTTATCTTGAGGTACAAAGTGCTTTTTTCCTGATTGTAATGTATGCTTATACGCTACTCACAATGGTAGCAAGGTGAAGTATCAGTTCTGTTTCACAGCAATAAACACAGAAATATATTTTTAACCTTTATTGCTTAAGTATATATATCTCTAATGCAGTTATGGAGAATTTATGTTAGCCATTGTATGATGCACCAGGAAAAAAAAAAATGAACTAAGCACTAGAAGATTTGGAGTCTAGTTTTGGCTCTGTAGCCAACTGGCAATATATGATACTGTATTACTATGAATTTCATGTAAAATATGTTTGTTTAAACTTTCAAGTAATTTTAATTCATAAATACTTAAGTTTTACTACAAATATTTTCTTCTTTTGAAACTTATTTTTTAAATTTAAAATTTAAACTGTTACTAAATTCATATGGTTAAAACATCAAGAAATATAAAAAGATTTGTAATGGAAAGTTATCCTCCTATCCCCGTAGCTCTTCTACTATTTCTCATTCCCCCTGCTCCAAAAGATACCAGTCGTTTGAGTTTTTTATTAAATCTTCCAGAGAATTTTTATTTATATGTAAACCAATATCCTTTATTTTTAGAACATTTAAAATGGCTAAACTGTATTTATATGACAGCAAAAAATAGATTCCAATACTTTCTGATGTGAAAGCATTATTATTTGGATAGTTTTTAAGTAACTTTAACTTTGGTTAAGGATGAACTGTCAAGAAAAGATCATGAACAAAAGAGATTTGATCAGAAGAATCAAAGGACCAAGAAAGTTCAGAATATGAGTAAAGACCTTAAAACTAACACACAAGACAAAACTGTAAAGAAACCTGTAATTCCAGGAAAATATTCTCAAAAACAAATAGAAGAGCATTTTAGAAATCTACCTATGAGGAGCATGCCTGCTTCAAGTTTACAGAAAGGGAAAAAAGAGGTAAGATTTTAATCTGGTTTTGTGACATAAATGTTGCATTATAATTGATCATTTCCTTTAAGATATAAATAATGAAGTGAATATGAAGGTGTTTAAAACTATGAAAGACTATACAAATGTAAACTATCTTTACACTATTGATATGTAGGGTTTTGGATCCATAATGTGGAAACCACTGCACAAAAAATATTTATTAATAGTTCCTTCCTTCTGAAATCGCTCAGCTAGTATCATAGTATTATGGTTATAGCAGGTATATCTAGAGACCCTAAACTAGATTTTCTGGTTCTTGGTAATTAAAATTGTGTTTCATTTTTGTATGTGTATATATGTGTGTATATATATTTTTGTTGATTTTTTCAGTTTAACAATATGTTTAGTGCCTAGTGAGTGTGGGGCATGGGTACTAGATGCAATGGAGGGAATTTTTGACGGCTCTAACTAGGCTGCAACTTTCTTAATGCCAAATATGGATTGTTGAGCAGATTAGTAAAGCATCTAGTTCAATGCATGGGACTCTGCGTAAATGCTCAATAAATGCTACCTTCCTGTGGCATTTAGATTGTGGTTGAAGATAGGATCACAAATGTATAAAGTCATCTAAAGGCTAGGGTTATTATATTTTTCTTGTACTTGAACATAATAAACATATAAGATATGTTTAAATATTTCTTTTTGGTACTGAAACTTCTTACTGAAATGTAAGAACCTTCATGTTTCTTAGGTGGATAATTTTTATATTTAAATTTCATGCTTTTTTATTTTTTATGTATTTTTTTGGCAAATTTGGATTTAGTCAAAATAAATTTCATGTCTTTTAAACTCATATCCAGAATTTAAGGGCTGTCTAAAATAGAGGATTTTTTCTGAGCTGATCATTCTTATTATAGTACTTAAACTAGCAAAAAGAGGCGTTAGAAAAATTTGATAAGTTTTTGATAACTATTTTCATGGTGAGTTGAATAACTTTGTATACATAGGGGCTTTTGAAAACAACCACGGTGATACAAGATGAAGATTATATGTTACAAGTTTATGGAAAACCAGTTTATCAGGGTCACCGAAGCACTCTTAAAAAAGGACCGTATCTCAGATTTAATTCTCCATCTCCTAAATCCAAACCACTGAGACCAAAAGTAATAGAGCAAGTTAAAGGTAAAAAAATCTCATTTTTTGTGTTTAACCTCATGTTTTAATAGTATCAATTTAATCTGTAAAGTTTCCTTTTGTTTGCTTTTTATTTATTATAAATACAGTTCAAATAACATAATGCTTAGAGATGGAAAAATAATTTGTTCTAGGAGAGGTAGGAAGAAATAGTCCAGGCACAAGATAGGATTAAGTGGGAAGAAATGTAGGGTTAGTTGGTATCTTCAGATAAAGCATTATAAAATTTTTATTTAGGAAATGATGAATTTTAAACAATGTAAATATAATATAGGGAAAGTAGACATTTCCTTGAAGGCCTTGGACCATTATGTTCTTATGAACAGAAAGATCAGCCATATGCTATTTATTATTCTAAAAATGTTTATGGACACTTTTGCAGTTTTATTTTTTCTCAAACAGCCTTAGGTAGCAAAGTTGACAACTTTTTTTGTTGTTTTTATACACAACTAAAAACATGTTTATCTCTGCATGTTTTTACTCACATCTGCCATTTCACTGGTACTGTATGTTTAAATATAACTCTTAGTTACATATTGAGTCTGTTGACTTTGGTTACATTTTAAAGTTTCTCACCTTGCACTTTAGTAGTCAGTAAGCTTCTTTGATGATAAGTAGTAGATACCAATCCATTTTGCTTTCTTATCCTTTCCAGAAGTTTGGAGCTGTGGCAGTTGCTTTAGTTCCCTTTCCTTTCTAAAAGTTAGGTGACCATATAGGGTATCAGGTTATATAGAAATTTTACTTATGTTATACAGCTATTATGTACCCACAATAATTAAAAATAAAATAAATTTTAAAATTAAAAAAGTTATTTTACTGATATCATTTTAGCAAATTATTTTAGCAAAGCATACAGCTTATAGGTAATATTTACCCTAATGTTTCCTCTTATTTACTGGAGCTTTGCTATTAACATATATTTGGGGGTTTGAAAGCCTTTGCAAAATATCATTTGAGCTTTTAAAATACTTTCAAATCCAAAAATAACTTTATTCAATAATCCTTTTAATGGTAGAAATGATTGAGAGCCTGTGGACTTCCACTTATCCTAGGGCTTCGGTACTTGCCTATTTCCTCTGTCTGGAGAGCTTTTCCTTCAGACACTTCCATGGCTCACTCAGTTCTTTCAATCTCTGCTCTTAGATATTTAGCTCCTCAGAGAAGTCTACCTGGACTATTCTCTCCAAGGAATTATCTCGTACCTCCCTATCTTCTTGCCCTGCCTGTTGCTTTTCATAGCACTTTTCACTACCAGTTATATTATTGTTTATTTACTTTATTTTATTTGTCCTTACTAGACTGTAAGCTCCATGAGTACAGTTGGTTTATTCCCCTCTGTATTCCTTGTGTTTGGAACAATGCCTAATACATATTAAGTGCTGAACAAATATATTTTAAATTAACACTCAAGAAAAATGTTCATTCAATAGAATGAATGAATATCAGAGAACAGAATGAAAAATATAGATAGGGTACTAAACTTTTTCTTCTTGGGATCACAAACAAAAGGAAACTATATTTAATAAAGTGTACATGCAGAAAAACATCCACATCTTAAAAGTAAAATGTAATGTCAGAAAATCATTTAGAAAATATTTTAGTCTCTTTTCCTTTGCACTTTTACTTTTTTCTTTCTTCACTTTTCTTGAATTCCATAGAAATTTATGCTCTTCTCTAAAAAGACAAGTGACATAGAATCAAAGTTTTAATTTTTTAATATTTAGGATATAATGATATGTATCTCTATTTCATAAGAGTACAAAAAATGTACAGTAGTCCCCCTTATCTGTGGGGCATACATTGTGAGACCCCCAGTGGATACCTGCAATTGTGGATAGTACCAAACCCTATATATACTATGTTTTTTCCATCTGATAACCGAATTGACTACTAAGTGACTAATGGGCAAGTAATGTATACAGTGTGAATACATTGGACAAAGGGATGACTCACTCACAACTTGGGCAGGACAGAGTGGGATGGAGTGAGGTTTCATTCACGCTTCTCAGAACTATGCACAATTTAAAATTTATGAATTATTTATGCCTGGAATTTTCCATGTAATATTTTCCGACCATAGTTAACTGCAAGTTACTGAGATGGGGGAAAGCAAAACCATGGATAAAGAGAACTACTATATAATGATATTAATTTCTGTAAGGTTTAAGTATAGAACTAGGTTATCTGTACATAATTTCAAATCATAAAGGCTGGTTATTCGGAATTATATGTAAAGGTGTAATGAGAAAATGAAAAAATCCAATTATCATTTACTTTTTGTACCTATGGGAAAAAATTTAATGAGCTCAAACATACTATCTGAATATTCTTCAAAATCTTTATTCAACTCTTTTCTAGTCATTGTATTTATTTTGTTATTGTAACTATCAAGTTGTACACCTATTCAGTGGCTAACAAACTATGGTTTACAGGTGAGCTGTCTGTTTTGTGAATAATGTTTGAACCTAGCCATGCTCATTCATTTATATATTGTTTATGACTGCTTTCATTATACAACAGAAGAGGTACAACTGAGACCAATCTTGTCTATTTGTTACTTCTGATTGGGGGCTCTGTGACATTATATATAGAATGAGATCCTTCTGTGAAGAAGAGTTGCTCTATTTCTAGATGGCTGGATGGTAGGCAATTCAAACAATATTTTAAATTATCTACCATTAATGATTTTTGCAGGCACTAAACTAAAGTCAATAAGAACACAAACTGACTTTTATGCAGCAAAACCTATGAAGATGGATTCTAAAATGAAGCATTCCATTACTACACTACCTCATGGCGACCAGCAGTATTTGTTCAGCCCAAGCAGAGAAATGCCTACTTTCTCAGGTACACTAGAAGGTCATCTAATTCCAATGGCAATTCTCTTAGGTAAGAACCAACAAAATCTGTGGGGTGAATTTTAAATTCTTAGCAGTAGCAGAACTTACAAAATGGTACTCACATGATAGTCACCTACCTTTTCCTTTCTGTGCTGTTTATAGGGAGGGCCTCAGAATGTATCTTAGTTGTGTCATAGAAATCTCTAAAATGATGAATTCCTGTTGTAGTTTCACCCACAGGGAACATTCCTTTGATATTTTATAGTACAATGTTGTAGATGAAATGAGAATTTTAAAAATCTTTAGACATGTTACAGACATTCATAATAAGAATCCAAGAGGTTTGACTGGCTTGTTAATATTTTCAAGTCTTAGGGGAAGTATTTTAAAGTACCTTTATGTAATTTTGCACTAGGCTATAATAAGTAAAAGTTGTGTGGTTGTGTATCCTAAGCTAATAGTTGTTTATTTACTTACTTGAGGTCTCTCAGAGTCATCATGTTAAAAATGGAACAAATTGTTTTTGCCCTCACATCAGCTTTTCAAATCTAATTAGCTCCTTTTTTCCTTGTAGTATCATTGCTTGTCTTCCTTGATATTGATGAATGATTTAAATATGAATATTTTTTAACATAAGAGAATTTTCCATTTTGAATATTTAGAGTTAATGTCATGTCAACATGGTAGCTGCCATGTCTGTTCAAACATGCCTTTTGGTAACATAATAGCTAACACTTTTAAAGTCCTTACTGTAGTGCCAGGTATAGTTCTAAACACTTTACATATATACATTCATTTAATCTATCCTGTAAAGCACATGCTAATAAACTAATTGTATAGATTAAAACACTGAGACACAAAAGGGTTAATTTGTCCAAGGCCACATAACTAGAGTAGAGCTGGGATTCAAACCGGCAGTCTGGCTTATTTTTTAGTCTGTACTTTTAGTGAGTACACTATACTCTCTCCTTTTTACTTTGTTTTTTTTTTCTTTCTTTATTTTAGAGATGGAGTCTTGCTCTGTTGCTCAGGCTGGAGTGCAGTGGTGTAATCATAGCTTACTGAAGCCTTGAACTCTTGGGCTCGAGTGAACCTCCTGCCTCAGCCTCCCTCATAAGTGGAACTACAAATGTATACTACCACAGCTGGTTAATTTTTTGACTTTTTGTGGACACAGGGTCTCACTGTGTTGGCCGCACTGGTCTTAAGCTCCTGACCTCAAGTGATCCTCCTGCTTTGGCCTCCCAAAGTGCTGGGATTATAGGCATGAGGAACTTCCCTTGGCCTTCCTTTTTACTTTGAAATGTAGAAAACAAGTGGGACTTCTGAAGTGAAAGTTTTTTGGGTTTTTTTTGAGACAGAGTCTCAATCTGTTGCCTGGGCTAGGGTGCCAGCTCACAATAACCTCAAACTCCTGGGCTCAAGCAATCCTACTGCTTCAGCCTCCCGAGTAGCATGTGCCACCATGCCCTTTTTCTATATACTTTTAGTCGTCCAGTTGATTTCCTTCTATTTTTAGTAGAGACGGGGTCTGGCTTTTGCTCAGGCTGGTCTCAAACTCCTGAGCTCAGACGATCCACCCACTTTGGCCTCCCAGAGTGCTAGGATTTATAGGCGTGAGCCACTACACCTGGCTGAAGTGAAAGTTTTTGACATGTTTTAAAATGTGGATAATATTAGTACCTCACAGCCTTTATTTTGAGGATGAAATTAGATAATGTTATGAAGTGTTTCGTACATAGAAGTACCTAATGTACGGTGAGTACTTGACAGTGGTGATGATGGAAGGAAAGGTGATTGTCAGATAGTGCTTTCCTTTCATATGAGACTCCAGCCACAAAGATTCAGGTGGTGTATTAGATTTTTTCCTTTATTTCTCAGCTAGTTGACTTGTTTTCTTTCCTAAACTTCTTAGGACAAACCCAAAGTAATAGTGATTCCAAGCCACCTGCTGGAGTAATTGTAAATAAGCCACACCCTATAACTGTGACTACTTCTATTCCTCCATCATCTCGAAAAATAGAAAGTGGAGTAAAGAAACCTAATATAGCAGTTGTAGAAATGAAGTCAGAAAAAAAAGATCCTCCTCAGCTTACTGTACAGGTAAGTCAAGGTGAATGAGAGGAAAAAAATGTTTTGCTTAACATTAGCACTTAAAATTCATTACATTGCTTCATGAAAACGTTGCTTTCATCATGGCTCCTATTTTTAAAATTTATTTATTTTTTTAGAGACAGGGGCTCATATTCACACAGGTTGGAATGCAGTGTTATGGTCATAGCTCACTGCAGCCTTAAACTCCTGGGCTCAAAGCGATGCTCCCACTTCAGCTTCTTAAGTAGCTAGAACTGCAGGTACATGCCTCCATGCCCGGTTAATTTAAAAAAAAAATTTTTTTAGGGCAAGGGTCTTGCTGTGTTGCCCAGGCCGGTCTTGAACTGTTGGCTTCACATTATCCTCCTGCCTCAGCCTCCCAAGTAGCTGGGATAACAGGTGCAAGCTACTGTGCCTGGCATGGCTCCTTCATTTTAAAAACTGTAATATTTATGTGATGTATCTCTATCCTTGTTCTATATGATTTAAACTACTCTTCTAGGCCAATGACTCGATGATATTCCAAAGGGAACAATTAAACAGTGTATTGTAATTAATTTAAAAAAGAGTTAATGTGTGTGACTTATATAATTAACATTAATATTTCAAACTTTACACAAAAGTATGTAAGAAGTGCAGTGGTCACATCTGTGATCCCAGCACTTTGGGAGGCTAAGGTGGGAGGATTGCTTGAGGCCAGGAGTTCTAGGTGACAGTGAGCTATGATTGAGCCACTGCACTACAGCCTGGGTGACAGAGCAAAACCCTGTCTCTAAAAATAAATTAAAAAAAAAAAAAGACTTCAATGAATGTAGAGAAAATTTATTTTTATATGCAAAGACTAAATATTCAAGTTGTCATTTTTTCCCTAGTTAATGTAGTATTCTAGGGAAATTCTAATTAATAACAAACAATAACCATGAGATTTTTTTTTTAACTTTAGGATCATTCTGATATCTGAAAGGACAAAAGGATTTAGAAAAGTTAAAGGTTTTGGTACTGGTCCAGTATAACAAGAGTATTTCAGAAATAACCTCGGTTATTTGGAAAGAATGTATATGATGGAGACCTCATACATCAGTGGGAAATAGGATTCTTATAAATAAAATAATATATTAATGTGTTATAATTCATTTAGCAATGTAGGGAAAAGATCAGTTTTAGACTCAACTCCTACTGTATAGCAAATGAGTTCAAAGTAGGCTATAAGCTAAAATATAGCTATAAAATTTTAAAACATAGAAAAATTGGAAGATAATTATGTCAAATTTTTATATAATCAAAACTCAAGCTAAATCTAGATATGGGAGAAGAGAACTTAGATATGATAGAAAATATAGATTTGAATCTATAAAATCTAAAACTTACATATGTAAAAAAAATCCTAATAAAAATAAAAACAACATACAAGAAGAACATATGAAAAGAAGATGATAGTAAAGGATTAATTTTTAACACATTAACTGCCATGTGAATTATATTTAACTTATACTAGTTTTGAGCCAGGGCCTTGTGAAGCATATGTAACTCACATGTCTCTCTACCTTGGGAGCCTCGTGGTGCAGGGGCAACTCATGCTGCCATGCTGTAGCATACATATTATGTGATTGGTGGCCTCCTGGGTAAAACCCCTGCAGTTGGCTTGTGAAAATCTTGTTGATGTTCTTACTGTTACAATTAATTTTGACAATTTAATTGCATATAACTCACGCACAGAAAACAATAAAACATAATAAAATTTTTTCATTAAATTAGAAAGGATTGTTTTGTTTTTGAACTTTTTATTCTATTTTCTTAATAAAACACCATGGCCCCAAGGAAAAATTTTTGGGGGGAGGGCAGTCAATGTGTTAAATATATATCTTCACAAATTAAAAAGAAAACATATTGATCCAAATCCAGAAATACTAAAAGAGCATGAGTAAGACTCTATAAAAGAGAAAACACAGTTTATCAGCAAGCAAATTAAATAATTTAAATTTTGCTAGTAACCAAGATAATGCAAATTGAAAGAACAATAATATACCTCCATTTTAAAACTGTTATTGCTGAAACAATCATATTATCAAATTTTGGTGAGGGTTGGTTAAAACTTAGAATTAATTATGTTTCTTGTTGATGTAAATAGAGGTTGTTTGGATTGCAATTTGCCAGTAATTATCAAGAATCTTAAATATTCATGTACTGAAGCCCAAGAAGTTACTATCTGGCTATCTAGCATAATGAAATAACTTAAATTTTAAGAAGAAAATCCTTTATATATATGAAGTTTTTTTATAGTGATATAAATATGTTTTATATATATACTATATATAAAAAAGATAGTGGAAAATTATAAATAAATCCTAAATTTTACCAATAGGAAGATAATTTAATAATTAAAGCATGTATAGTTATTGAAATATATAGTCATTAAAAATATAATTATGAAGTCTATACAGAAGCATGATAGGGTGTTTATGACCAAAGAACAATGAAAAATCAGGAATGAAATTATTTTAAATTTTAGCTATGCGTATATAAATGGATGGTAAAAGATAGGGAATAGTGCAAAGATAGTAGGATTTTGCATGTTTCCCCCTTTATTTTCCATATGATATAAAATATGTTTTTATAATTTAAAAACTTTGTTATCCAGTGGCTTCACAGTAAAAACTTAAAGGGCATGTTTTGTTTTATATATTTATATAAATATATACATACATACACACATAAATATTTGAGTCAAAGTGAAAAACAGAAAACTGGATGTTGTGTTGTTTCAGGTATTGCCCAGTGTAGATATTGACAGCATTTCAAATGGAAGTGCTGATGTCGATCCACCTCTGCCTAGTCCCAAAGAAGCATCTCTTCCTCCTCTGCAAAACTGGATACAGGTATATTTCAGAATTTTATCATATTGTTTTGAGGAATGTGTGACTGTAGATTTTAACTAATGTTATTTCATTCAAAGTTTTCTATCATAATCATAATCTATAGTAATAATTTAGATTTTGAGGAAAAGATTCAAAATGAATCTCAAATTGTTTATGAACTTGAAAAAAAAGTTTGTTTCAGATCCTTACATTTATAAATATTCAGAAAGTGATAATTCTTAGTGTAACTTTTTGGTGACTTAAGTTTTGATACTTTCATATTTGAAGAAAGAATTTCTATCTCTTTGGTGAAGAATCTTTTATTTACATGGGAATGATAGATTTCCTGAAGGCAAATTTTATGTTGACTACTGTATTTCATGTTTTAACATGTTACTTTGTCATGCTGTTGATATAATGCAAAAATATATATTTCTTCCTGGTATTTATTTGCTTCTGAATAATGAAGTTATGATTTTATTAAACAGCAAATTAGCACTGTAACTTATCCCAGCTTTCATGTATTGTAAGCAAATTTTGGTCATTGGAGGATACAGTTTTAAAGAGAAAGAAAGCAAGAACACTAGCAATATCTTATGATCACAACTAATAAAATAGAACTGACCCTAAATGGCATTTGTGCCTAATTTAATTTTTTCACTAGTAATTTTTTTACCAGAAGTTTATTGAAACTTATAACAAGTAATACATTTTGGATTGATTATCATTCTGCTGTCAGTAAGAAGCTATTGTGGTTTTCTGTGGCTAGATTTCAGTGACTATATAGTAAGGCCTAGAGGTTAATTTGGTAAAATGACTGTTTTGTTTATTTTTCTAAATTATTTGATTCTGTATCTGTCTTTCTGTGGGTCCATATATATACACATTTATATATATATATATATATATACATATAAACACTTTTTTTTTTTGAAGATGGGGTCTCATTCTATTGCCTGGGCTAGCGTGCAGTGGTATCATCACAGCAACCTCCATCTCCTAGGCTCAAGTGATCCTCTTGCCTCAGCCTCCCAAGTAGCTGGGACCACAGGCGCATGCTACTAAGCCTGGCTAATTTTTAAAAATTTTTTGTAGAGACAGAGTCTTGTAATGTTGCTCAGGCTGGAACACTTTTTGTGTGTGTCGATACACTTTTCTTTGTCTTAACTCTAGGAGAGAAATCATATCAATCTGTTGATCAATTAACTTAAGTTGCATTGTTAATAGTGTCCTTGCCAGAAAAATTGATATTTCATTTTTTATAGCTATTGAAACGTCAACCTAATGCCTTGGGGACTAGCTTGGATTTCATTTACTAATCAAATCAATTCTGAATAGGATACTAAGATAGAAAAGCAGGGCCATGTAATTACAAGCTTATGCTGTAGATGTAAATATGGTAAATTATGTATAAATTTAAAATATGTTAAGCACAACAAAAACATTCTGGAAATGCTTTCCTAGACTCCAGAAATTATGAAGATAGATGAAGAAGAGGTGAAGTTTCCAGGAACTAACTTTGATGAAGTAATCGATATCATACAGGTAACAAAGCTTACAAACCATGAGAAATTATTTTTCTACCAGTATTTTCCTGGGTGGTTGACTGTCTTCACTGTCAATATTATGTCACAGTGCTTTGAGAAACTTGCTTTTACTTTTGAGTCAAAGATACTTTTATTTTAAAAAGTTATGAAGTTGTTATTCTGTAGTACAATATTGTCTTTCATCTATGTGTCATCTATCTGCCTTCATGAAACTTAATGATTATATGCTGTTTCCCACCGAGATCTTTTCTTTCTTGCTTCCTACTTTCTTATTTCTTCCCATTTTCTTTGCCTTCCCTCCCTCTGATCTATCCTTTCTTCATTTTGTTCCATTTATCTCTTTTGATTTCTGGATTAGTGGCAAGGTCAACAATTAATTTATATTGAGAAAAAAGTTGTGAGGAGTCTAAAATCTAAAGGAAGATTTCATATGGAAGGAAGAGTTGTGGAAATGATAGAAATAGTAAAATAGAGAGAAAAAATAAGAGAAAGTAAAATGTAAAGGATGGGAGAAAAGATCAGTGAACATAGAAACTACTTGAATATTATGTTTATAGACTTTAAAGTAGACATTTGTTGTCTCTTTCACTTTCAGAGCTAAAACCCGTTTTGTTAATCACAAAATGAAACCAATTTTACACTATGCAGAGGTATGCAGTGTATTAATATTATTTGCTCACAAGCATGTCTTCTCATGTGAGCACCACACGAATATTTTGAAGGCAGGAACCCTATTTATCTTTATATTCTTAATGCCTAGCAAAGATATTAATATTTGATAACTGTTTATTCAGTGTACAAGTGAAATAAACAGTTACAGAAATGGCAAAAGATTTAGAATTCAAAGACAAGGGTTCCTACCTTAGCTCTGCCCCACTTATATGTTGTGGACTTCATTTTTTGATGGTATTATATAAAAATATTGACTTAATAATATTTAAAGAGACCAAACTGTTTTTGAGACATATATATATTGAATTATTTATAGATAAAATGATACAATATCTGTGATTTTCTTCAAAATGATATATGAAGGGAAAAGTGGATGGGGGGGCAATCTAGATGACACAAGGTTGACCATGAGCTGATAATTATTGAAGCAGGGAAACAGGTAAATGCAATTCATGTTATTTACATATTATAGATATATTACATGGGCACTATTTTGTTTACTTTTAAATACGTATGACATTTTTCATAATAAAAAATTTACAAATTCCAGAAATAACTCTCTTGATTATGATGTGGTGATGCAAATAATGTGTAAGATGACCTAACTGCATCATTAAATGTAATTATAGGTTCTGCAAGAGCAAACATGATATTGGGATGCATCAATTTTTTTATGGTAATAAATTAAGTTCATAAATTTCTAGAGGGAAATGTTAATAATGTTTGATGCAGGAATAATTAAATTTTTTAGTTTGTTTTATGATTGTATAAAATGAATATTGGGTTTTAAAAACACAAACGAATTATGTAATTAAGGTTTCTTCAATGTGACATATATGACTAATGTATTTATTATAATTAATATTATACTACCTAATTAGAAATGCTGTTCGTTCATTTAGAAGTATTGGTTAATTCACCTAGCTAAGTTCTCTGCATATAGTTGGTACTCAGTAAATGAGTAAATACATAATATAATAGTTTTGGTTTTTTTACTATTATCAGGAAGAGGAAAAATGTGATGAAATTCCAGACTCTGAACCAATCATGGAGTTTAACAGAAGTGTTAAAGTTGTTTCTACAAAATATAATGGTCCTCCATTTCCGCCAGTTGCTTCTGCTTCTCAGCCCACTGCTGATATTCTGGAGAAAGTAATTGAGAGAAAAGAAACATTGGAAAATAGCTTAATTCAGTGGTGAGTTTAGAATGGTATTGGTGTGAACAGAATCATAGTAGCAAATATAAATGAAAAGTATTAAAATTTGGTTGAAAATCTCCCTTGTCTTCCTTTGTTTATTAAACTTCCTTTGTTGTAGTCACTGGAAAGTGTTTAATATAATGCTGAGGGCTTAACTAATTGTTGGAAATATTATTTCTGTCCTTGAATATTGGTACTTAGGCTGCCTACCATGACAAAGGAGAATAGAAGAATATTATTTTTATTATTTATTTATTTATTTATTTTGAGACAAGAGTCTCACTTTGTTGCCCAGGCTAGAGTGAGTGCCATGGCGTCAGCCTAGCTCACAGCAACTTCAAACTCCTGGGCTCAAGCAATCCTGCTGCCTCAGACTCCCGAGTAGCTGGGACTACAGGCATGCACCATCAACCCCAGCTAATTTTTTCTATATATATTAGTTGGCCAATTAATTTCTTTCTATTTATAGTAGAGACGTGGTCTTGCTCTTACTCAGGTTAGTTTCGAACTTCTGAACTCAAACGATCCTCCCGCCTCAGCCTCCCAGAGAGCTAGGATTACAGGCGTGAGCCACCTCGCCCAGCCTAGGAGAATATTATTAAGTACCAGTATGGTTATTCTACTAGGCCATATAATTCCTAGCATTACAACAAAGGCACTGTTCTAAGTTTGTTAAATACTTACAAAAATGAGTTGTAATATATACTTATTGTTACATATTACAATAACAATTATAATTTGTTATTGCATATGGATATGAAGTGAATTCTATTATTATCTCTGTTTTTACTTGTGAGAAACCTTAAGGAAATTATGGAATGAATAAAATTAATGACTAAATATTAATACAGTTATTAAAATTAAGTTTAGAAGAATATAGAAAGATAACATGAGATACTAGTGTGTAAATGAAGCAGAATACTAACAATGTAACCGCAGTTTATAAGAACTTACTCAAAAATAAATGTGCATAGGATAAAAGTTTGAAAAAATATACATGCCAAATTAACTGTATTTATCCCTGAATCTAGGAGTATGGGTAAGCCTTATCAATTTTTTTTTTTTTAAATTTTGTGAGGCAGAGTCTCTTTCTGTTGAGCTAGAGTGCAGTGGCATCATCATAGCTCTTGTGATCTTCCTCCCCCAGCCTTTTGAGTAGCTGGGACTACAGGTGTGTACTAACACACCCACCTGATTTTTTTTTTTCACATAGAGACAGGGGTCTTGCTGTGTTGCTAAGGCTGGTCTTGAACTCCTGGCGTCAAGTGATCCTCCCACCTCAGCCTGCCAAATTTTTTTAAAAACTTTTATATATTTTCTAAACTTTCTACAATAGGCATCTATTATAATATTAATAATAATTTTCAAGAAGTCTATTAGCTGCTCTAAAGAAATGTACCTGAAAAAGCCTCCTGTTCTGTTCCCCTTTCCCTTCTTTTTTTTTTTTTTTGAGCAACCTCAAATTCCTGGGCTCAAGCGATTCTCTTGCCTCAGCTTCCCTAGCAGCTGGGACTACAGGCATGCACCACCGTGCCTGGCTAATTTTTTCTATAGATTTTTTAGTTGGCCAATTAATTTCTTTCTATTTTTAGTAGAGATGGGGTCTCACTCTTGCTTAGGCTGGTTTCAAACTCCTGACCTTGAGCAATCCTTCCGCTTCAGCCTCCCAGAGAGCTAGGATTACAGGCGTGAGCCACCGCGCCCAGCCCTGCTTTCTCTTCTTAAAAATAACCTTGGAAATAAATTTTTTCTTTACTTTTCAAAAGAAAAGCTACCCTATATCTCCACATATATATTTATTTCTTGAAGTGAGGGCAGCTGGACTTGTTTTCTAGTTCTGATGTTACATGGTTTTATATGCATGCTCTCAGAGTGGAAATAAACATTTTAGGTACATGATATGCCAGATAATCATTGGCCCAAGTCTTATTCTGAATTTAGGAGTTTCATTAAGCTTTTCATTAGACTAATCTGAAAGATTTTAGTTTGATTTCATGAACTGTCACAAGAAGAGTCTGTTTCATGTGGTTTATTTTATTAGGAGATATATTTTATTTTTTTTCTTCTTTCCAGATTTAATTGTCAGAGTAACTGCTTTCATTTGTAAATGTTTGTGTCCCGGGGCAAAGGTTATTTTTAAGGATGGTATGTCTAACATTTTATACATTTCAATGAAATTTAGGAATCTTAACTTTTATCCCACACCTAGGGTAGAACAAGAAATAATGTCAAGAATTATCTCTGGCCTCTTCCCAATCCAGCAACAAGCCATACATAATGTTAGTGTTTCAGTCAGTGAGGCAAGTGAACCACTGACTTCTGATATTGGTAAGTGAAATGGAATCTTTTTTGTGTTGTTATTAAAAGACAAAAACTTTAGTTCATTGTAGATTCATATATTCCAGAGATGAAGTAAGTCCTCCAGTGACAAAAGATAAGCCCTTTCAATTTCACTTCCCAGTACTTCTCTGCAGTGTTGGTTAGTTCTCTTCCACCCTGTTATTTCACATTGAAGCTTTCAGATTATTAAACTGCTCTCCACATTTACCACCCCAAATCTCCATTTCCATAGTATTTTGTATATATATTTTTATGGTAATTATCAGGTTATATTATGGTTGGTTTATATATCTGTCTCACTCATTACAGATAATTTTAAATTACTTAGGTTTAAGGATATTTCTCCTTTAGTGCCTAGTCCTTGACTGATACCAGTGAGACTTTAAATATTTATTGAATAGTTAAATGGTCCTCTTTCTTTATGGAGCCCATACCATTCTTCTTCTTTTTCTCTCTCTCTCTTCTCCCTTTTCCTCTTCCCCATTTTTCTTCTTTTCCTTCTCCTCCTCCTCCTTTTTTTATTCCTCCCCTTGTCCTTCTCCATCAGCTTTTTTGAGGTATAGTTTACTTGTCATAAAATTCATCAATTCTAAGTGTACAGTTTGACGTGTTTTGACAAATACACATAGCTGTATATTAGCTACACTGTCATAACATAAAAAAAATTTCCATCATCCCCAAAAGTTCCCTTATGCCACCTTGCAGTCAGTTCCTAACCCCTAACCCCCATCCATTCCCACTGGCCCCTAACCACCACTGATTTGCTTTCTATCACTGTATTTTTACTTTTTCTAGAATTTCATACATATATAATTATTAATATAAAATATTTAGTCTTTTGTTGGCTGGCCTCTTTTATTTAGCTTTTTTTTTTTTTTTTTTTTGAGACGGAGTCATGCCCTTTGTTGTCCCAGGCTAGAGGTGAGTGCCGGGCGTCACGCTAGCTCACAGCAACCTCAAACTCCTGGCTCGAGCGATCCTTCTGCCTCAGCCTCCCGAGTAGCTGGGACTCAGGCATGCGCCACCATGCCCGGCTAATTTATATATATATATATCAGTGGCCAATTAATTTTTTCTATTTATAGTAGAGACGGTCTCGCTCTTGCTCAGGCTGGTTTTGAACTCCTGACCTTGAGCAATCGCCGCCCTCGCCTCCCAGAGAGCTAGGATTACAGGCGTGAGCCACCGCGCGCCGCCGTATTTAGCTTTTTTTTTTTTTTGAGACAGAGTCTCACTCTGTTGCCCTGGCTAGAGTGCCATGCTCACAGCAACCTCAAACTCCTGGGTCAAGCAATCCTTCTGCCTCAGCCTCGAGAGTAGCTGGGACTACAGGCATGTGCCACCATGCCTGGCTAATTTTTTTTTTCTATATATTTTTAGTTAGCCAATTAATTTCTTTCTATTTATAGTAGAGACGGGGTCTCTCACTCTTGCTCAGGCTGGTTTTGAACTCCTGACCTTGAGCAATCTGCCCGCCTCAGCCTCCCAGAGTGCTAGGATTACAGGCGTGAACCACCACGCCTGGACTCGTTATTTTGAATATTTATAGGAATATCTCATTATGATTTTTATTTGCATATCTCTGTACTAATAACTATGTAGTATAATTACACATGATGCCTAATGACATTGTGTGACTTTTCATGTGCTTATTTGCCATCTCCATCTTTACTTTGGTGAGGTAGCCTTTTATTAATAAATCTTTTACCAATTGTTAAACTGGAGTTTGTGTCTTCATATTATTAAGTGTAAAGTTCTTTATTCTAGATACAGATCTTTTATTGGAATATGTTTTGCAAATGTATTTTCCTACTTTGTGTCTTGCCTCTGTGCTTTCTCAACATTATCTTTTGAAGACAAAAAGATTAATTTTGAAGAAGTCTAATTTATTAATTTTTCTTTTGTAGTTCATGGGGGGTTTTTTTGGCATAGTATTTAAGAAATGTTTGCTAACCCCAAATCATTAAGATTTTTTCCTATATTTTCTTCTGGAAAATGTGTCCTTTTATATTATACATTTAGGTCTATAGTATATTTTGAGTTAAATTTTATGGTGTAAAGTAAGGATTAAGCTTTTTTTTTTTTTTTTTGCATATGGATATTCAATTGTTCTAGCACTATTTGTTGAATAGATTATCCTTTCTCCATTGAATTACCTTAACACCTTTGTTGAAAATCAATTGGCTGTACATATGTGGGGGTCTGTTTCTGGATGTTTTATCCTGTCCCACTAATCTGTAAGTCTACCTTTTATACTAATACCGCAGTTCTTGATTATTATATTTTTTTTTTCTTGAATTGAACTTAAGTAGTAATTGATTATTATATTTTAATAGTCTTGAAATTGGATAGCATAAGTTATCTGACTTTGTTCTTTCTTTTACATTTCTGTATTTCATTACCTCTACTTTTATTCCTTCTTTCCAGTCTCAAGATGACCTACTCTTTCTCCCTCATAGACTATCCTTTAAGTGTCCAAACCATAGACATCAAAGTCTATATTTACTGCTTTAATTTCTCATTTCCCATTTTCATTTTAGTCTTTATGGGTTGGCTTTCTGTCCTCTGCTTCAAGAAACTCCTTTCTAATAGCATTTGGTTGTCAAAGACGTTTCCATTTTTCAAATCTTTATTTTACTAGATGGCTCTAGGATGGGCACTGTTGGCCACTTCTAATTCTTAAAATGTTCTAATGGTTTTCCCTTCTTGGAATTCATTCTGTAGTTCTTCCTCCTTTCTCCTTTTTTAAACTTCTTCAAGTTCTTTATTTTCTCATTTTATTTTCTGCTACTTGGATAAAATTATTCCCCTGGTTTCTATGCTTTATCCTCTTATCTGTTTTTCTAGTTTCCTCTTGCCATTGGTTATCCTGTGTCAGTTGATGACCTCTAAGCTGTGTATCTAAGCTGAAAACTTGCCGTTCTACCTATTGACGGATATTCTACTTGATGCTCCACTGGCATACCATATTTAGCATGTCCAAAATGTATCTCATTTTTCTACACAAACCCACTCTTCCTTTGTTCTCTATTTCTGTTAATAATATGATAATTTTCCCAGCACCCAATCTCCAAAGTACTGGAGTTATTGTTTGTTCTGTTTTCTTTTCTCTGCTCTTTCCCAGTCCCCACTCAGCCACAGCCTACATCCTTGGGCTCCATACAGTTTATTGATACATTTGGTTAATTTTTCCTATTTAGTATAGCTTGCATGCTTTCTTCTACTGTTACTACCCCAGGTTTTCTTTAATCATGCCATTTTTTTTTTAAGAAAGGAAAAAACCTACCAAGGAAGTTACAAAAGAATTGATGTTTTCCTAGATGAAATCTTAAAATTTCCAGATTGGGTATTTAGATCCTGTTCTCTAAAGCATGTGTGTTTGCTTTTATTTTTGCTGGTGCTTGGGTAGGTTTTCAGGGCCTTATAACAGAGATGTTCTGATTTTTGGTAATGCCAAAACAATGAATTGTGGAAACTAAAAAGGAGATGTATCAACATATATTGTTGAATACAAATTTGGTATTGTGATAGTCTCTGTTATAGTAACTCCAAAGTAAATTGCTACTATTTGGGATTACCTCAACAAGTAATCCCAAAATACCTGTACCCACTCTTTTTTTTTTGAGACAGAGTTTCACTCTGTTGCCCAGGCTAGAGTGCCGTGGCAGCAGCCTAGCTCACAGCAACCTCAAACTCCTGGGCTCAAGCAAACCTCCTGCCTCAGCCTCCCGAGTAGCTGGGACTACAAGCATGTGCCACCATGCCTGGCTAATTTTTTCTATATATTTTTAGTTGGCCAGTTAATTTCTTTCTATTTATAGTAGAGACGGGGTCTCGCTCTTGCTCAGGCTGGTCTCGAACTCCTGACCTCGAGCAATCCGCCCGCCTTGGCCTCCCAGAGTGCTAGGATTACAGGAGTGAGCCACCATGCCCAGCCCGTGTACTCACTCTTTAGGGAATTCTGGATATTGCTGCCACAGTTGTACTTCTTTAGGAGTGCTCTTTGGAGAGGCAATATCTTTATCAGGTTGTACAGATCATTGTTTACATATTTTCCACACACAGCTTTGTAAATTTTACCACTTTAAGTTGAGCAAAGTCTCTTAAGGAAGTTTTACTTAATTTTATGTACATTCATGTAAGTGAAAAGTACAACTCATTCGGAAAATTAATATACTGATAAGACATCAGATAAGCACCTAAACTATAAGTAGAGGTTTGAAGAGGATTTGCTGATAACTGATATATTTGGAACTACGAGGAAGGAAGGTTTGTCTTCATATTTATTACATCCTTGTGTTTTGGTCTATCACAGAATTTCCTGTTGTCTTGCTCTTGGAAATGTGTATTGTTTTCAGATGAGGACATTTATTAATAATATGGGTACAAATTCTTTTTATCCCTAAATTCTGTAGTGGTAGAGAAGAGGCCATATAAGTAAATTTTCATCTGTATGTTTTCTTCTCCCCTTTATTTGTTTTTATTTGTTTAGAGAGAAGGTTTGTTATACAAGTTATCATCTTAGTCCTTTTTATAATAAGTAGATATGTTTGTATTTTCATTTTTATTCCTCTTTTCACCCCCATATACAAATATATTGTCATCCCTAAAATTTTAAGAATTAAGGTTTAAATAGCAAGCATTTTCTTGCCCACTTATTCTGAAATTCTTTCTTTTTTAGTGGAAGGAACAAGTGGTGGTACCCTCCAGCTTTTTGTTGATGCTGGGGTTCCTGTGAATTCAGACATGATCAGCCATTTTGTGAATGAAGCTCTTGCTGAGACCATTGCTGTCATGCTGGGTGACAGAGAAGCAAAAAAGCAAGATCCTGTTGCTACAAGTGTTGATGGGGATGTTTCAGCAAATGAAACATACTTGCCGGTAGGAGGGACTCTCCTTTCATGACTTAAGTTCTGGAGAATTTTTGATATGTTTATTAAAGAACAAGTAAAATAAAGTAAATAAATAAAAATAAAGTAAATAAAAAATAAAGTAAAATAGGTAAATTTTAAACAGCATGTCATAAGATCACAGTTTGTGGTAGGATTTTATTCCTTTTTGGTATGGTTAAAGTAACATTTCCCCCAACATTTTATTTTAAAAACTTTTAAATCTATTGAATAGATGAGAGTATGATGCAACAATGAACATCTGTATACTCTTTACCAATATTTAGCAAGTGACAATATACTGGCACATTTTTCTTTCTTATTTTTGAGACAGGGTCTTTCTCTGTCATCTAGGCTGGAGTACACTGGCACAGTCATAGTTCACTGCAGCCTCAAACTCCTGGACTTAAGCAATCCTCCTGCCTCAGCCTCCTGAGTTGCTGGGACATGATAGTTTATCCAGCACTCTGCATGATGTTCTTGAAATGGTAAGTAATGTGATTGACTCAATATTGAATTCTGACAGGTAGAATATCTTAATGAACTTGTTGCAATTGATCAGTTTTTTCTCAATTATTTGAGTTATAATTACAAAATTTAGTAAAATATTCATGAAAGAATTTGTTTCCTGCATATTTCATTATGTAATCTTATAATTGTACAAATAAAAAATTATAACGTTTGTGACTATAGTTGAAAATACACATTTAAGTGTAATTAGGTAATGAAATCTAGCTTAGTGAAGATTGTCACTGGATATGTTATCTTTACAATATTTTAAGCAGGATCTTAGCTATTTAAACCAACTCTCTTATAATACATTTGTTATTTTTCCATAACCATGATTATAGTTTTTTATACTAATAAATATTTAAATTTAATGACTTAAAAAGAAAAAAAAAATGAGATCTAGAGATCTAACCTTAGTTATTATATAGCTCTATAGAAGAAAAAATTGGCATTTAAAATATATATAATATAAATATATACAGAAATGATCATAGGAATTTCTTTTGAAAAGACTAGGAATGGAATGGAAATGTTTACTTTTTATATATTTCAAACAACCTAAGCAAGGGAAGGTAATTATACTCAGCTGTCACCTACATTTATCCATGTTTTTGCTAAGCATCTGTTTTTTATTCAAAAATGTTATTTCACATGGAAATTAAATATATCATTAAGGAGTTGTTTTTTTTTTTTTTTTGAGACAGAGTCTTGCTTTGTTGCCCAGGCTAGAGTGAGTGCCATGGCATCAGCCTAGCTCACAGCAACCTCAAACTCCTGGGCTCAAGCAATCCTGTTGCCTTAGCCTCCCGAGTAGCTGGGACTACAGGCATGCACCACCATGCCCGGCTAATTTTTTCTATATATATTAGTAGGCCAATTAATTTGTTTCTATTTATAGTAGAGACGGGGTCTTGCCCTTGCTCAGGGTGGTTTTGAACTCCTGACCTGGAGCAATCCGCCCGCCTCGGCCTCCCAGAGTGCTAGGATTACAGGTGTGAGCTA